CCAAGGGCACTCAGTGGCAGTGTATTAAGCCAGGGCTAGTGCCCCCAAGCCAGAAGACAGGAGGGGAGATCTGAACACAGTCCCTATTGTCTCTGGCACTTTCTTCTGCTGTTCTAGCTTCTTCCTCTTGGCTCCCAGGGTCATTTTCCCTTGTGCTCTGTGACCAGTCTGGTGGGTACAGACTGGCTTTGAGGGGAACTGCTTCCCTGCACAGCAAGGCTCTGGGTTTCTCAGGACAGGGTGAGGAGGGTGGATGTTTTTTGCCTGTAAATGTGTGTGATGAGAGTGAGTGTATAGTACCTGTGTCTGCATGTGAGTGTCAGTAGTTTGTGTGAGTGTATACTAGTGTGTGTGTATGTGTGTGAGAGAGAATGCGTGACTCCCGTGAGCATGTGAGTGTAATGCGTGACTCCCGTGAGCATGTGAGTGTGCGTGGAAGCCATCCCCCAAGATTTTTTCCTCCGTGCCCATAACAAGTGAGGCAAGTGAAAGAACATGCAAAGACCCAGGACATCTTAGTCTGGGCTGTTTCCTAAAGACAATTTTCCAAAGTCTTTCAGAGAAAGGTAAGGGGACTGTGGTACCCAGGTCTTTCATACCCCAGCTGAAAAGGAAAAGCAGCAAACTGGAGAGTCAGAGAGTCTGGGCTGACCCTCACCTGTGGCATGATCTGGGGCTGGTCATTCATTCTACTTAAGCCTCAGTTTCTCCTTCTGTAAAACGTCATGTTTTGAGGAGTTCATGCTGTAGCTTACATGAAGTAACTGCCACACAGTAAGCCAAACCAACCTGTCAAGCTGATTCCTACTTATGGTGACCCCGTGTGTGGAAGAATGGAACAGTTCCATCGAGTTCCCTGACTGTAATCTTTATGGGAGCAGATTGACAGTCTTTTCCTTCTGCCGTGGTGGGTTCAAGCCGTCAACCTTTAGGTGAGTTTGTTGTTAGTGCTATTGAATTGGTTCTGACTTATAGTGACTCTGTATAGGGTTTCTGAGGAGCAGCTGGTAGGTTTGAACTGCTGACCTTGTGGTTCAAACTGACCTTGCTGTTCAGTGCGCATCCTGTAGGGCCACAGTTGAGTACAGATTGTTTGTGCCTCTCAGAAACCTTTTGTTGCTGTTGCTTTGTTAAGAGCCGTTGAATCAGTTCCGATTCATAGAGACCCCACATATGGTTTCTGAGGAGTGGCTGTTGAGTTTGAACTGCTGACCTTGTAGTTCAAACTGCCCTTGTGGTCCAGCGCTTATTCTACAGTGCCACAACAGGACTCCATAGTAAGTGCTCACTAAATGGTAGTTATTTTATTAATATTATTTCTACACTTATTACTCAATTCTTGGTCTGGCTAAACCAGAAAACAGGGCATCATCCCTTATGCCTGTGGGTTATGACCAAATGCTTTCATCTTCCCCCACATCCTGCCCACAGGTCTCTTCTCTGGGAGTCACCACTTTCAGCCTTTGTGCCTTGGGCATTGACCGCTTCCACGTGGCCACCAGCACACTGCCCAAGTTGAGGCCCATCGAGCGGTGCCAGTCGATCCTGGCCAAGCTGGCCGTCATCTGGGTGGGCTCCATGATGCTGGCTGTGCCTGAGCTACTGCTGTGGCAGTTGGCACAGGAACCTGGCCCCACCTCGGGCACCGTGGACTCCTGCATCATGAAACCCTCGGCCAGCCTGCCTGAGTCCCTCTACTCTCTGGTGATGACCTACCAGAATGCCCGCATGTGGTGGTACTTTGGCTGTTACTTCTGCCTGCCTATCCTCTTCACTGTCACCTGCCAGCTGGTGACTTGGCGGGTGCGGGGTCCTCCGGGCAGGAAGCCGGAGTGCCGAGCCGGGCTGCATGAGCAGTGTGAACGCCAGCTCAACAGCACCGTGGTGGGTCTGACAGTGGTGTACACCCTCTGCACCCTCCCCGAGAACGTCTGCAACCTCGTGGTGGCCTACCTCTCCACTGAGCTGACCCGCCAGACCCTGGACCTCCTGGGCCTCATCAATCAGTTCTCCACTTTCTTCAAAGGGGCTGTCACTCCAGTGCTGCTCCTGTGCATCTGCAGGCCACTGGGCCAGGCCTTCCTGGACTGCTGCTGCTGCTGCTGCGAAGAGTGTGGGGCCTCCCAGGCCGTGGCGGCCAACGCCTCAGACAACAAGCTCAAGACCGAGATGTCCTCTTCCATCTACTTCCACAAGCCCAGGGAGTCTCCCCCGCTCCTGCCCCTGGGCACACCATGCTGAGGCCAGGCCTGAGCTAGGAGGCACAGAGCAGGAGCAGCGTAGGGCTTGTACCTGGTGTTTCTTTCCCAATAGGTCCTGCTTTTCTGCCTGTCTTACTGTCTAGAGATGAACTTGGTTCCTCTTGTCCAGGTTTGGGCATGTCAAAGGCCCCTCCACATGCAGGGCTTTCCCTGTCACATTGTGGGGCCTCCCAGCCCTGCTCTTTCAACTGGTGGACAATGATGCTTCTAGGTTCTTAGAACTCCCCAGAAACTCATAGTCCCACCTGCTGGGAATCAGAACTTGACCCTCACCTACCCTCTCTTTGTTCCAACTCTGATTCTGTCTCTCTGCTTTGAACCTGACTATATTTCAGTTGTGCCCCTGGCAAGCACACTCTCTGTACCTCTCACCATGGGACCTCAGCATGGAAGAGGGGTCTTTGGGGGCCAGCCCAATTTAGCTTGGCATCCTCTTCTCTGGACTGGGTCTGCCTTATACCTGGGCACCTTTTCCTACTGGCACCTTCTCTCTTTCCAGAAGATTTCTCTTTCCCTTCCCTTCCTTTTTTTGAGGTGCGCTGAGTTGCTCTATCCAAACATCCCCTGTTAGGTGCTTTCCTGTAGAGGGTCCTTCTTGAAAAACAATAAACGAGGTAGAACTAACCTCATACACACTAGACTTGCTTGTGCCATATTCTGGCAGGGCCTAGATGTTCCCTGGGGCCCAGCAATGCCCTAAGAGAATCCCCCTGTCCACCTTTGGCCTTTCCAGACCTGGGAGCTGATGTCCAGCACAGCCCGGTGGCCATATGGGCACTAAGGGCTTTATGGTTTTTGAGGGATGGAGAAGATGGAGAGCTCAGGAAGCAGGCAGGATCAAGTCCTCATTCTGGTGAGGCAATAGGCTGCAAATGTGTCCCCTCTACCGCTCCCCCCCCCCCTTCTCCTTCTCTCTCCCTCCACACTGCACTCACTGGAAGGAATCCAAGGGCCTTCCCCCATGAACCTCTGGGCTTCCCAGTCTCTCTCTGAGAGCTGCTCTTGTTCAGCTTCTTAGAACAGACTGTTTTGCCGGTAGATGGCCCAGCTGCCTGTCCCCTGCCTGCCCCCATCCCACCCCTGCCACACCACCCTTCCTGCCAGAAAGCCATCCCACCCCCAACATGTCCTCAGCTTCTCTTGCTGGTGTGCCACCCTTGGAGATCCACCTCCCGCAGCTCCACCTCTTGGGGTCTGTCCAGAGGGCACCCTTTGCCTTTCCTGGCCTCTGAGAAGCAGACACAGCTTGAGCAGAAGTGATGCCTCAGCCCTGCACCAATCACTCCTTACCATGGTCAGGGCAGACTTTCTTCAGAACAATGCTCCCTGTATGATGTTCAACTCTGCGGCCTACCCTGGAGACTTCAACCCACCAGGTCACCTTAGGCATCTCCATGGGGTCTCCCTCTGGAAGGGTCCTGAGGGTGCCTCCATTCTCCTCCCTCCACCCACCCACACCCTTTGGCCTCAGCCTGCCCCCTGTCCAAGCTTCCCCCCCGACCCCCACCCCATCTCTTTCTCCTGGGGATCTTAACGGCCTTGTTCTGTCTCCCTGGCATCCACCCCCAGGGCTGGGGATGCCGCCAAAAGAGGGAGGCGTTGCTAGGTGACGGCTCTTCCATGTGCACACCCTTTGTACTGGGAATGACACCCACCCATCTCTCAGCAGACCTGTTGCTGTGGTGACTGAAGCCCCCTAGCTTTGTACAAACTTAACATGAGTGGGGTCGAGGGGTAGGCTAGAGAGGGGGGTTCAAAGGCAGACTTGGCAGTGAAGAACTGGGGCTGTGTCCTTCTCATTTTCCCAACAACCCCTTCTTGACCTGTCCCCCAGTTCCGCATGCACTGATGGCTTCTGAAGGGATGTTGGAAGTGAGGCTGGGTGAACTGAGGTGAAGCTCAGGATAGGGGGGCACTACGGATGGAAGCAGCAGGAGTATGAGGGGGCCATCTCAGCATCCTATTTGGGGGCCTCTTCCGAAGGACATCTCCTGCCGTGCTGATCAGCCAGTTCAGAGCAGATGGGGAGTGATGGTGGCTTCCAGGCCCGGCCACCACTGCTGTCTCCCAGGCCTGCAAACGTGAATGGTTTGCAGAATTGGTCAGCTGGCCAGCCAGGCCTTGGGACAGAGCCATTGTCCCTGCAGCCTGGGCCAGCTGGGGGAACAATATGGGCTTTGTTGTTTGGGGATCTGATGGCTATTTGAACCCAGGCTTTAGGGTAGGGATGAGGGTGGGGGTGGTTGGCTGGTAGTGGGCAGTGGACTTGAACTGGCATATTCACTCAGAGGCCAAACTGACACACTCACCTACCTCCTCAGGGCAGACTCTGGATTAACCCTTAGACCCTGATGCCAGGGTTGGGGGTGTGGGGTTTGCACTGAGCCCCCCATTTCAGCTTGGAAGAAACGTCATGCATTTTGGAGAATCACTTCATTGACCCTCAGCTACATGAGTTATCACGGGACTTGAACTAAGTTATTGAACTCTCAGTCTTGGTTTCCTGGTCTATACAGGAATAATCCAGTCTTCACAGAGGACTGAACTCATTAAATAAGGTAAGACAGAAGAAGCCTCTGGAAAGATGCCTGGCACCTACTTTTCCTCTGAATTCAACCCTCTAATACTACAGAACAGGCTTGGCCACCGTATCCTTAAACTCATGAAGAGTCTTAGTAATACAGCTGGCCCCAAACATGATTTACAGATACTCTTGGTCTGTTCTCCATTCAACTTTAGCACATTGTTTAATCCTAATTAGGTACATACCATATCCAAGTGGGTATTCAGTGGTAGACAGCCTGCCTTTTATTCGGGAGACCTAAGGAGCCCTGGTGGTGCTGTGGTTACGTGTTAGGTTGCCAACCACAAGGTGAGCGGTTCAAACCCACCAGCCGCTCCTATAAAGATGATGAGTAGTCTCACAAACTGTATGTAGGGTCGCTGTGAGTCAGAATCGACTATGTGGGAGACCTGGGTTTGATTTCTGGACAAGGCACTTACCTAGTGCAGCGGCCACCCATCTGTCAGTGGAGGCTTGAGTGTGACTTTGATGCTGAATGGACTTCAGTGGAGCTTCCAGAATGAAAGGCTAGGAAGCAAAGCCTGGCAACCTACTGCTGAAATAAGCCAATGAGAACACTATGGATCATAACAGACTGAGCTGCAATGATGGCTCTTGGGGACGCGCTTTGTTCCATTGTATGTAGGGTTGCCAGGAGTTGGGGACGGACTCCATGGCAGCTACCATGCAAAGGCATAGTAGTAGGACAAGGCTTGCTTCAGGAAACAGCTCAAATCTTTTCCCTCATCAGAGGATGACAGGACCTGAGGGAGGCTGGGCAGCCTGAAGTGTACCCCTTCCTGCTCCTCTAATGAAAGGGCTGTTGCCTTGTTCCCAGGCTCCCTGTCACTCCTACAGCCAGTAGGGGGCAGGGGGCAGAGCCCAGTCCTAGCTTTACGTCCCTTAACTAAGGGCACAGTTCATGTTCTTAAGAGCTGGCTCCACCCACCCACAGCCACTGAGTGGGTTCCAACTCAAAGCTACATTGTGGGACAGAGTAGAACCGCTCCATTGGGTTTTCAAGGCTGTAAATCTTTAATTCTCCCACGGAGAGGATGGTGAGTCTGAACCACCAACCCTGTGGTTGGTTAGCAGCCTACCACTCAACCCACTGTGCCACCAGGACTCCTTTGAGGGTGGAGAACTTTTTTTCTGCCAAGGGCCATTTAGTTATTTATAACATCACTTAATATAAACTTATGTTGCTATGAAAAAAGCTCATAGATTTATTGAATTTTGAGATCTGCCTGTGGTTGCCTTGGCAGGGCCAGACCAAATGATTTCACGGGCTTATATACTGACGTCCCCAGCCCTGATCTAGGAGTTGGAAGCCATGCTAAAATCATTTCGCTCCAGTTGCCAGTCTTTCCTGAAGCTCTTGTGGAGATGGGGAACTTCCTCTTCTGGCAGGGTATTTTTCTCCAACAGCTTTGATTATAAAGTGCCTCTTAAGGAGGAAGAGTAAGGGGCAGAAGAAGCTGAGCATAACAGGGAAGTAGTCCAGAGAGCCTCCCTGCCAGGCGCTACAACTTCCAGAAGAAGGAAAACTGTAGCTTCCTTCCCTGCACCAGCAGGGATGAGGATGGGATATTCTGCTGGGGCCTGCTCCATTTTTCAGGATGAAGGGGAAGCTGAGAGGGGTGGAGCAGGGAAAGGCGAGGCTTACTCTAAAGCTGGGTCAACATGGCCTCAGATTTGAGTGAGCAGGCCCACAAGGCTCTAAGGCAGAGCTGTGGGCAGTGGTCTCCAGGAAGCTGTGACAGGGGTTGGGTGGTAAGCTACACTTAAGTGGAAATGAGGGCATGGTGTCCTCCAAGAGACCAGTAGCATGGATACCATCAGAGAAGCAATGGAGGAAGGGAAGTCACTCAACCTCTGTAGGCCCAGCACTGCCCACTGAGAACCAGGTGGGAACAAGGTTTGGGCTCCTGATCAACCCTGGCTGTAGGTGAGGTCCTAAGTCTGAAGAAGGTAGGGCTGAGGGCAAAGCTCAGTCCCCTCCAAAACCAGAACCTCCCTATCACAATGATCTAAGTCCTGGGCAGGTCCTAAAACAGACCCTCTAAGCATCGCTGGGCAGCTGCAAGCTCAAAACTGGGACCACAAAAAGTCTGAGAAGGGAGTGAGAAGGAGGCAAGCAAGAGCCGTGCCTCCCTGACATGCAGGAGAGTTTTATGAGGGGCCATTGTGTCATCACCATGAGCAGGTGCCTCCCCTCAGTGGGCATATCTCTCTGGGGCTCTGTGCCCAGCGTGCATGGAAACGCTGGTGTCCCCGGGGGTGTGCCAACCACTGCATGCCATCTACAGAAGAAATAATTGGCACCATACACACCCCCAACACAAAATTGGTCATTTATTTTGTTGTTGTTCTTATCAGGAAGGAGGCAAAAAACAAAAAACAAAACAAAAATGTACAATTACAAGAATCATTTTCCAAACAGAGGTTAAATATTATGAGCTTAAAAGTGTAAAAAACGGAAGTGGAACATCACTTTACAAATCATTAAATTAAACAAACAAACCAAAACCCAAAGAACCAACCCCCCATGCTGAGTTCTCTCCTTGTGCAACTCTGCAAAATGAGAACAAAATGAGGCGGGCCTGGAGGTGGGGCCATGGGTTGGGGGCAGGAGCTGGTGCCAGGGACACGCATGAGGGGAACTGCTGGGGCTGGGGCGGCAGGAACACTGGCTTCCTGTCCCTTCAGCCTGGTGGTTTCAGCACCTGGGTGTGCCTGGTGGCCCTACGGAAGCTGGGAGCAGATACTCCCGTCAGCCTGTGGCATTCAAGTCCTGTAGGGACAGGCCCAGTTGAGAGGTGGAAACCAGCAGGACATGGGACGGCCACCAGGGCCCAGGCTGGTACCTGCCCCAGGTGCCAGCTCCATCTTTCCTCATCTGAACCTGCCCCAAGCTCACCCTGCATCTCTTTCCTTCTCTTCAGACGGCTCCCTCCCAGATTCTGACCGGCCCCTGCAGCATCAAATGGTTGATTTTAGTCTTTGATTAAATTAAAAAATTAAAATATATATACATATATATTCTGTACACACAGGACAATAACAGAAGAGTGTTGAGAAAGGAAGAATAGGGGTGGGATGGGGGAGAGAGGAGGACATAGGCTGGGGGTGTGGGCAGTTGAGAGGGGAGGGACACAAGGTGTTAGAGGGACAAGGAGAGAGGGGAAAGAGGAAAGGTTAGGGGACCCGAATGGGGGGCAATTTATTTTACAATAAAAACAGGAGTTCAAACTTCAGCAGAACAGGACTCTGGGATCCCCAGAGGGCCCTCCCCACATTGAGTGAAGGAGGGCAGGCTTAGGGGGTTGATAGGAGTGGGCGGGGAGCTCGGCTTCAGGTTTGGATGACCATGGTCCTTGGTCCTGGGGAAAGAGCCGAAGTCTCAGCTTCTCCGTGACTTTGAGTGTTGAATAAGCCACTGGAGGGTGATGTCTGGCAGGAGACAAGAGAGAAGGTTAGAAGGTCTTCAAGCACTAGGTTCACTGGGCAGGTCAAGAAGAACTCTGAGAGAGTTGGGTGCACAGTGCAGTCAGGGCTCAACTTCAAGGGCATCAAAAGCCCATGCTATCCAACTCCAAACGACCCAATCAGACAGGCAGCCACAGGCTGGTGTCACCTGGTCCAGGGAAGTGAGCCCAAAGAGGGGATCACACCAGCTGATGGTAGAACAGGTTTAATACTAAGAATCCAGGCCTGGCTGCCTGTTCTACCCCAGAAGAACCACAGAGCTTTGGGCTTAAAGGAAAGCTGTGTGGTAAGAATTTTTGAAAGCCACTACTCTAAAACACAAGGAGCTCTGGTAGTGTAGTAGTTACAAGTCAGGCTGCTAACCTCAAGGTCGGCAGTTCAAAACTACCGGCTGTCCCGAGGGAAAAAGATGAGACTTTCTGCTCCCATAAAGATCTACAGCCTCAGAAACCCTATGCAGGGTCTCTGAGTCAGAACCAACTCTAGGGCACAGAACCATCACCACTACCATTCTAAAACATCCACAACTGCCTCTCCCTTTCCCATGGTTACTCCCTACCATGCTGGCAACTCTCTCAAATCCACGCACCAATGTTATCCTTTTCTTTGCAGGAGATGGAGTAGCAGCAGATCTCTCGGTCCTGGATGGCAGACAGATTCCTGAGGAGAAACCAGAGTAGAGTCTGCTGAAGCTAGGAATGCTCAGCAGCCCTGGGGCTACGCTGGGCCAGGGCCATTCTTTAAGTAAGGGGCTGCAATGGGGAAGGCGAAACTCCGGGAAAAGGAATCTCTACTGCCACCCTGTGGTGAATATTGAGCATAGCAACAAGCCCTCTTAGGTCTGGTGGTTGGAGAGTTTGGGTAGCAGGGAAACGTAGAGCCGCCAAACTCACATTTTCTCAATCAACTCCTTTTCATCCAATGCTCCTGGAAGGTCTCGCTTGTTACCCAGGACTAAGACCTACAGAGAAGGGAGGACAAGGATTAGTACGAGGCAGCCATGCCCAGGGTTGTCTAGGTGGTGGTGTGGCTGCTAAGAGTCCTCCATTTCCTCTCCCCACCCCTGCAGTGCCTGCCTCCCAGTACGCTTCCTCCCTAACCTCAGCCTCACTAACCGGGATGCCCTGCAGCTGGGGCTTGTCCAGTAGGTTGTGAAGCTCATTCTTGGAGGCCTCGATCTTTTCCTGGTCAGCGGCGTCCACCATGTACCTATGGTGATGGGAGTGGGAGTGAGTAAGATGCATGTCGACCTCATAGACTGGGTTGCCTCTGGATCTATGGGCACCCGCCTGGCTCAAGGCAGCTGCTCTAGGAGAATGCGTTCTGAGCTGATGGGAATGAAAAGCCACAGGCACTCCTGGGCTTCTGTCCTCCAAAGTCTTACTCTCGGGAAGCTGTTACTCAATGTGGCAAAACTGGAACCCTTCAGGATTAGCCGTAAATCCTTCCCAAAGAGACTCACTTATGCTTTCATGGAAAGGCTACACGAGGTTGAGTGAAACAAAAGCAGAAGCAAGTTCTGGAAGCTTATCTTGCAACAAGGTAATTTTTTAAATCAAATTTTAAAACACAAAAACTAAACAGTCATTTATCTGGGCATGAATGAGGGGGCTTCAGGAAGTCCATGGAAAAACAATTAAAAGATAAAGCAATTTTCCGTGAACTTTCTGAAACTTCCTCAGATATGAAGGATAAAAATATTTTTAAAAAGCAATGGAATGAATCATTTCAATCACACAGAATGCAGGCTAGGTGGTAACTCTGAAGGAGCCCTGGGAGCCCAGTAGTTAAATGCTCAGCTGCTAATCCAAATTGGTGGCTTGAACCCACCGGTCATTTACAGGGAGAATCACCTGGTGATTTGTTTCTGTCAAGATTGTTGTTATTGTTTAGTGCCATCCAGTCGGTTCTGACCCATAGCAACTCCATACAGCGTTTCCAGCTGGTGGGTTTGAACCACTGACCTTGTGGTTCAAATTGACCTTGCAGTCTAGCGCATTATCCTGGAGCACTACACCAGGACTCCTTGTTGTTAAGTGCCGTCGAGTTGGTTCCGACCCATAGTGACCCTGTATAGAGTTTCCAAGGAGCAGCTGGTGGGTTTGAACCGCTGACCTTGTGGTTCAAACTGACCTTGTGGTCTATCTAGCGCATTATTCTGCAGCGCCAGACCAGGACTCCTCTGTCAAGATTACAGCCTGGGAAACCCTATGGAGCAGTTCTATTTTGTCCTTTAGGGGGCACCATGAGTCAGAATCGACTTGATGAAAATGGTTTTAGTGTTTGGTTTTGGTGGCCTTGAGTTGTGTGTGTGGTGGTGGTGGTGGGGGGAAACAGGGAGGAAGAACACAGGTGCATCCCATTATTGCTGATGCTCTGGATCTTAGATTGGTGTGGGTGCCCACAGCATGTGTTAGATTAGAAACAAGTGGCAAGCAAAAGACGGGTCATGCATGGATAATGTGACATGAGCCAAGAATTTAACTCATTTAACTCTGGGTCCTTCTAGGTAAGAGGGCTGGGGAGGAGACTAGGTAGGCATGAGGAGTCCTGTGGACCTGTGCCCTGCCCCACACTTACACTATGGCACTCACTCCTCGGCAGTAGCGTTCCCACATGCTGCGGAAACGGGGTTGTCCCCCAATGTCCCAGAGCTGAGGAAGAAGAGGGAAAGATGCCTCAGCAACAGATAGGCTCTCAAGCAGCCCCTCCTACCCTGCCCTGGAGTCCCTGGGGGTTGCAAATAGTTAACAGTGTACTTGGCTGCTAACTCAAAGATTGAAGGTTTGAGTCCACTCAGCGGTACCTTGGAAGAAAGGCCATTCCAATCAGCCATTGGAAATTCTATGGAGTAGAGCTCTATCTTAACACATATGGGGTCACCATGAGTTAGCAATGACTTGGTAGCAAGTGGTTACTTCACCCTGCGCCCCTCCTCTCTCCAACTCCCATTCCCCGTTCTCTCCTCTCACCCTTCTCTTCTGATGACCTCTCAAGTCTTCTGTTCTTGGTTCCCAACTACTCAGCGATCAAACCCAAGCCTTTGTTACTCCCAGGAGTCACAGACCACTGTCCCCCACCTCCTTTTGGGCCCTTTTAGCATCCCCAAACACACACACAGTCCTCTGCACTTCCCTAGTTTGTGTGCTCAGGGTTCCGGCCTCCTGCCACTTACCTTGATGGTCACATTCCCTTTGGTGATTTTGCGCATGTTGAAACCCACGGTGGGGATCATGTCCTCATTGAACTGTCCCGACTGCAAGGAAGATTCCGGGTTGGAAAAGATGCAGAGGACCCATCTGCCCTCCCAGAGAGCCACAGACTGCAAGGATAATGGAGAGACCCCAAGCTCCTCTGACTTCTCAGCTGGGAGATTACCAGATTATCTCCTGATAGTCCCTTGCTTACAAGCAGGGCTGGGCCGTAACCCCCTCAGTTGTCTACCCTATACCTGGAGGTCTCCCATGTAGAGGCCCATCATCTTCAGATAACCTCAGACTCTTAAGCCAGAGTGGGAGAAAACACCTCTGAAGGAGGAACCCATATCTCGTCTATCGTAAAACGCTCTTCTATGTATTTAGTTTCCATAGAAATGAAGAATAACTATCTCCCAGCAAAAGACTCCGCAACATGCTGCTGTCTCTGTCAAGTCATGAGCGATGACAGGAAAGGAGACTTATCTTCAAATGAGTAGTAACCATTCAGGAGTCCTAGGTGGTACAGATGGTTAATGCACTCAACTGCTGATCAAAAGGTTAAAGGTTTGAGTCCACCAGAGGCACTTCAGAAGAAAGGCCTGGCAACCTACTGCCGAAAAACCAACCATTGAAAACCCTACGGAGCACAGATCTACCCTGACACACATGGGGTTGAAATAAGTTGGAAATAATTTGATGGTAACTGGTTTGATTAGTACATATTTAAGTCAAACTCTTGGGGGCAGGTAAATCTGCCACACTGTACACTGAGCAGTTTCTGGATTACCATTGCTTTTGTTTATCTATACTCTATGCCATTTGTTAGGATGGATATTCTAAACTCTCTATTATCTTTTACTTATCTGTCTTTGCACTAGGCTGAGAGTTTCATGGGGAAAGGAACCAGGACTTTATTAACAGCATTGGTAAATGTTTACCCCCAAGTTGGAGGTTTACTGTAATTCCACTTCCGATAGCCTATTTTCAAATTTTACTAATTTTTATATATCACCTTTAAATTGTCCCCAAGACCTCTAGATTGTTCTAAACTAGCCACAGTTCTCAAACTCCCTCCAAGATCATGTCTCCCATGGCCATGTGTAGGGCACATCGGCTTACCCCCAAAGAAGCGGGCTGAAGGAGAAGGGCGTAGTTAACCTTGAACCTGAATGTGGCATCAGAGTCCCTACATCATACCCTTTTCTTCTATCAGGTATTAGGAATAATTTACCTCAGATCATACAAGGAGGTCTAGACCCTGAACATTAGGCAAGATGTAGGAGATGCTCATTGTGATAGCTAAGATTTTTGTGTCAACGAGGCTGGGCCAGGCTTCTCAGTGGTTCAGCAGTTAAGATGGAGTTATCACTTCCATGATGAGACCTAACATGATGCAACCACCCCCATGATGTGATCTGATGTGATCAGTCTTGGTCTGATGTAATTATCCAATGTGCTGGAAATCCTCTCTCCTGGTGTGGCACTGTAGGATAAGCACTGGACTGATAACCAAAAGTTCAGGGGTTCAAATCCACCAGCTGCTTCTTGGAAACCCTATTCAGGGTCACTATCAGTACAAAAACAACAACAACAATGATGCTAATCAGACTGGATGTAATCTAGAGGATTAGGTTGTATCTTGAGTGAATTTGTTTTGTGATATAAAACAAGCAGAGCTCAGAGGGATGTACTACCACTGAGAAAGAAGAGCCGGGAGTGGAAGTGGAGTGTATCTTTTGGGTCTAGAGGCCCTATACTGTGAAACTTCTAGGTCCAGAAGAAGACTGATGCCAAGACACATGGAGCTCTCCAAGGAATGCTGGTCCTACAGATGCTGAAAGGAGACAAGGACTTTTCTCCAGAGCCTGCACACTGAATTCAAACATCCAGCCTCCTAAACGGTGGTATTTCTGTTACAGTAGCACTAGAAAACATTTCTTATTGAGAGCCTGCAAGTATGAATGAAGACCCCAAAGGCCTCGTCTGAATGAAGACGCACTGTTTCCCTTTTATCTGCAGGAATCACCCAGCCCATTCACCAAGGCCCTCAGATCAGGTGAGAATTGAGTACCCATGACGGGTCACCCATGTCAAGATGGAGCAGGGGTTCCTAACCTGGGGTCTACAGATGGGCTTCTGAGATTCCCTGAATCCCCTGAAGTTGTACACTATTTGTGCCTGCAAATTAGTTTGTATGTCCACTTTTCTGGAGAAAGGGTCCATAACTTTCATCAGGTTGTCAAAACAGCCCCCCCCCCAAAGTGAGGATTCGATAAAGAAGGAGTGGGGAACTGCTTCTCTGGCTAAGTAGGAAGAATCAGATGGAATAATTACCCAGACCCCAGCAGGTGTTGGATAAGGGCTAGCACCTACTGACTGAATACACTCCACCCCATCTGGGCTAATTAAGAACATGGAGTCTGAGGATGGATGTCCAATTCTTGTTTATCCTCATTACAGGTGAGCAGGGGCAAGGTATGTTAACCTCTCTGGTTTCCCAGAGTAAAATGGGGGAGAAGAGTTTTGGTCTCCTAGGGATTGGCGAAGAAAGTGCTTGGAAATGGTTTCAATGTAGCACCGAGGAACCACTATTCTTTGGCAACTAGAAGACCCATAGACTCCCAATGAAATGAAAAGCTCATCTGGCAGAATGTGCCCTTGGATGAATTGGGGTGCAAGGAGCACCTCCAGGTTCTCTGGCACCAGCATTTCCTGTTCAGTGTGAATCGAAGCTAAGCTGGAATCAGATTATGACTTAATATCCCTCCTAATGCTTCCTGATCTCACAGGATCCTCGTGTAAGGTTGGAAGTAACCTCAAAAGGCATCTAGTCCATTCTCTGGTCTCAAACTTGACCCACTCCCTCTTGGACCCACTTCAACCACCAAAAAGTCCTTTATCATGAATTTAAAAATTCATCTTCCTTTAACTTCCATCCTTTGTTCTTTAAGATGACCCCATGAAAACCCCAAGATGATTGGTTCCTTCATAGGAGAGTCTTATGCTTATAACATATTTTTAAATGACCCTCTTGTTTCCCTCAGGCAACTCCCCACCTCCCACTTTTCTAGCATCACAACTGTTTCTGAATTAAAAAGATTTGTTTTAAGCTGTTAAAAGCATTACAAAGTCTCTCTCTCTCTCTCTCTCTCTCTCTCTCTCTCTCTCTCTCTCTATATATATATATATATATATATATATATATACACAGTTGACTCGCTTTAACCTGCTGAGCAGCTAGACATACTAAACTCAATTTCTATTTACAGTCAGACTTCATATAATGAACTGAAAAAAAACCCCAAAAACCTAATGGGGAGAAAGCTAAGACACACAGAGGCCAAGTGAACAGGCAAAGGTGATTTAGAAAGTCAGTGGTGGGCATGGGAACGGCGCCCAGGGGTCCTGACTCTACATTTCTTTCTGGAAGACAGTCTACTGTGATTATACACGGGGTGGGCAGAAATGCCAGTGTGGCAGTCCTGGAGGATCTGAGAACACTGGCATTCCCCTGATGCTGGAACCCCGATTGCAGTCCACAGGGATGGTTTTTCTTGGGAAGCGTCTTTAAAGAGGAAAATCTAGCCTGCACTTTTCTCTTAGGATGTGACAGTTAGTGGCAAATTTAATATAAAAAATGGAATACATGGGTTTGGAATGGATGAACTTGCCCATACATCATAGAAACTCTTGAGCCTGGCAGTGGGATTTGGGACTCTTGGGTTGGGTTCCTGAGCTGCCACAACCCCTTACTCTGTAGATATGTTGCTGGTCTAGAGAAGGCCCTCCTGGGAAAGGAGGGCATCTATGGGAATGGCTTCCAGACCAGGCAATGGAACCCACTTGGGTACCTATGGATCCCTATTCAAGGGCATGGCTTTAGTGATGCTCCATCAGGAGAAATTCCCTGGGGACTTACAGCAGCAACCCCTTTCTCCCTTTAGCCTTACCACAGAGACATCTCCCAGATCCAAATGCCTAGAAACCCAGTCACCTAGGCTGCAAAGCAGAATTGGAATGTAGGCACTGTGCTCCTCTTCTCAGAGCCTATGGATCCAAGTCAATGCTCAGTCTAACTAGGGGCTCTCTGACCCAGGGCTGGAACCTGGGCAGACAGAAGTTCAGGAATGTGCATTAGCTCAGAAAAACCATTGTCTCAAAGAAAAGAACACTGGCCTGAAGGTCCTCTCCTCTCAAATAAGCAGCCAGTAGACAATGGGTGGAGGAAGGGGTCATCTGCAGAACATGTGTGGGAGAGCAAGCCAGTGCCCAGCCATGTGACCATGGGACACCTGCCCCCTCCAGCCTTCCCTCAGTCCTTCTGCCTCAAGCCTAACACTGTGACATGTACACTTCTAGGATGATGGAACTTGTCAGGTTGGCCCACCTTTTTTGAGGCTGGACAACTGTGGCAGGTGCAAATACCTGGGTTGCCTGCCACATTTCTTGACTGATCTGTCTCACCAGACTTTCTGGTATCGGGCCAGCCCTCAGTTCCCCCAAACCCCAACTGTGAGCCTGGGGCCAGGTCCCTGAACAGCCCTAGCACCTGTCCCAAGCCTTTCTCCACCCATAAACTCAATTCAGCCAGGCACTGAAATGCAGGCCGCAGCCATTACTGCAGCCTCAGCTTACACACCCATAGAGCGCATCTTCCCTTTTTTTTCTTTTAGAATTTTAACTCCTTCTCCACCACTCCCCTGGCACTAGAAGACTGTAATACAACCCTCAAGCTCCGTCCTCACTACATATAGTACTCAGAGTCACTCTCCATGTCCCCAGAGTGGGCAGTGCCCCTCAGAATCAGTCTCCTGTAACTTCGGAGCCAGGCGGGAGACTCCAAACTCCCTTTATGATGCCATCCTCCCTGGACCCCCAACAAGATCCTTGCAGATACAGTGATGTTCCCGGAAAAAGGAGTCTGGGCTTGAGTAAGGGCCTCAACTGACTCCTCTACCTCAGGGGACATCTCCCCTTCCATAGGGCCTTGGGCTTCCTCTTCCGGCTAGGAGGGGTTAAACCCGCGGGGTGGGGCTGGCTTGCTCAGGCCCCTGCCCCAGGCTGCACCAGCCGCCCAGTCCCGTGACCCTCCACGCGAGGGTAGAAAAGGCCCGGGCACTTTCGCCCTGTCATGCCCCCTTGCGCTGGGGATAGAAGCGGCCTGCTTCAACGGACAGCAGATCCCTCCGGCTCCGTGACCACCTCGGTGCCGGCCAGCTACGGGGCACCTTCTGTGTAGCCCGGTGCCCTCTCCCGCCCCCCAGCTTGCCATCCCGGTTCGGGTCGGAGAGCGGGTCTCGCATATCCCGAGCCCCCCACGACCGTGCTAGGCCCCCGAGCGCCTGGGCCCGCTGCTCTCCCGCCTGGCGCCCGGCGGTGCCCGGCCATGCCAGGCAGCGACCCCGGCTCACCGGGGCGCGACGCGGGCGGAGACAGGCCCGACCCTCGGCCCGCGCCGCCCGGCCGCGCCCAGCGCCCTCGTACCGCGATCACGTTGACGAAGGTGGTCTTTCCCGAGTACTGCAGCCCGACCAGCGTAAGCTCCATCTCCTCCTTCCAGAACAGGGCCTTGAACCAGTCCAGCAGCTTGTTGAACAAAGCGATCATGGTCGCTGCCGCCGGCCCCACCCGGTGCCGGGTCCCTGTCTGCCCCTAGCTGCCCTAGCGCTGCGGCCCGGAGCGGCCCCTCCCCGGTGCGGCCCGGGTCCCGCTGTTCGGTGCGGGCGGAGGCTGGAACGCGGTGGCCGAGGTCTCTCTGCCCCCGGATCCGCTAGCCGATGGGTGTGGCTTCAGCGCCCTCCTCCTCCGCTGCCGCCGCCGCCGCCCTCTCGCGCCGCCGGGCCGGGTCCTGCTCGCACCCGCGCGCGCGCTCCTGGTCTCCGGGAGCCAGGAGCTGTGGTCGGCGGGTGGGCTGGGCAGGGAGCCTGCGGGCGTAAGGGGTCGAGACCGATTGGTAGTAGCATAGAGGGACATTTAGGAAAGGAATTGAATTTGATCTCGTCTTCCCGGGCAGCCGCGCCCTGACAGTCACCCCCTTTCTTCTTAAAGAGGTGGTGGGCCTGAGGTGAGAGAGATCCCAGTTAAGCAGGAGCATTTCCAGTTTGAAGAAGGGTGGTTCACCTGCTTTCCAGATCACGAAGATGAAATAATCTATGGAAGGGAGGCAAATGGAGGTGTTTTGTTCCCCGAGCACTTGCTTGGGAGCATTGCTTGGTAGTGAGTCGCATCTTCTCAAAATGTACCCGGAGGAGAAGTAGCAACCGTATTTGGGTCTTTTAATACTCCATCTTGTTTTGTATACCACAGTTTACCCGGACCATTTGTTTAGGAAGTCTCTGGCTGAACATAGAATAGATGTTTGAAGTTGATGCTGATTTTTACTTCTATCGTCACGGTCTTGAAACATAAAATCCTGGCAGGGGCTTTCCAGTGAGGAAGACATGTGGGAAAGAAAAAAGTTGGCATGTTTTGGTCAAAACCAGTCTTCCTTGGTAGAAGACTGAGTGAATGGGGTTAAGATCTGCCAAGATGCCTACCTTCCTAATCTCAGACCCTCAGCTAGCCACAGACTTCAGGACAGGTTGGTGCTCCTTAGCTTTTGATCTTCAAGTACACTCCCATGGGGTTTAGTGTTTAAGTTAAAGGTGGAAAAACCATTCATATTAACTATATTTGTCAAGGGGTCCTGGTGTGGTGCTGTAGGATAGCCACTGGACCGCTAACCACAAGGTTGACTGTTCAAACCCACCAGCCACTCCTCAGAAACCCTATGTGGGATCACTATAAGTTGGAACCAACTCAGCAGCACTTAACAACATATATTGAACAAATGAATACTAAATAGAATTGATTAAACACTAGTATTGGAGTAGTGCTGTGTGATAAGCACTGGACTTCTAACAAAAAGGTCAACAATCCAAACCTACCAGCCACTCCTTAGAAACCCTATATGGGTTAGTTGAGTAAGAATCGATTTGATGACAATTAACAATAACATTTGCCAAGTGGAGCCCTGGTATGGCACTGTAGGATAATGTTGGTGGTTCAAACCCACCCGTTGCTCCTTGGAAACACAATACAGGCTTGCTATGAGTCGGAACCTACTTGTCAAACCTAAACCCCACTGCTGTTGAGTCAAGTCTACCTCAGAGTGACCTTATTAGGGCAGAGTAGAACAGCTCCTTTGGGATTCCAAGGCTGTAAATCTTCATAGAAGCTGACAGCCTCATTTTTCTCCTTGGAGTGGCTGGCAGGCTTGAACTGCTGACCTTGTGGTTAGTAGTCCAGTGCTTAATCCATAGGGCCGCCAGGGATCCTGTCAAATCTACACCAGAGTTAAAACACAACAACAACAACAAAAATCACAACACACACACACAAAATCGGTTATCATACAGTCGTCTGACTCATGGCGACCCCAAGTATATCAGTGTGGAGCTGTACTCCATAGTGTTTTCAAGCGCTGATAATTTTTTTGGAAGTAGATCACCAGGCCTTCTTCTTAGGCACCTCTGAGTGGAATTGAACCCTTCAGGTAGCAGCTGAGTACATTAACTGTTTACAGTACTCAGGGACTCGAAGCAAGAGTTAGAGTTGCCAAAGTCAAAGAACTGAACAGAAAGTTTCACAGGGCAGCTCAAGAAGACATATTCAAGTCTTGAAATGTGCAAAGACCTGGAGTTAGAAAACCAAAAGAGAAGAACATGCTCAGCATTTCTCAAGCTGAAAGGGCTGAAGAAAAAAATTCAAACCTCGATTTACAAGACTGAAGGATTCTATGGGCACCATCTTCTTGCCTCTGCTCTTTTAAAAATTAGTGTGGTAAAAAATATAAAACAAAACATTTGGCAATTCAGTAATTTTTACATGCATTATTCAGAGACATTGAATATTTTGATTATATTGCACAACTATTACCATGATCCTTTTTCATATTATTGTACCACCATTTAGCCTCTACTCTTTATAAATCCCTCTCTGGCTCCTAGGGTAGACTTTGTCCCATTTCCTAAACTGACTCCAGTTTGACTTTATCTTTGTGTCTCTCAGAATGCTGCTAGAGATCTGCAGCCTGTTGTGAGTCTGTGAATTCTTCCTCTCCCTATTGCTTTAAAGAAACCCATAGGACTGAAAAGAAGATGGAAGAAAGAATGAATCAGTCATCCAAAACAATGTTTATTTTCCAACTTGGTGACTTTGCCAGAGCTTGTTCTGGAACAGGGTTGGAACAACAATGCCTCTGAGGGGAGCTTCCCTCCTAGCTGGGTCTGAGCTCCAAGTAAGATCAGGCACTTGAGGGTTCTCCACCCAGCTTCATTGGTTCACAGAGGGCTTAGGGAAGGTGGAGGTGTGGGTGATCTGTTCCAAGGGATGTAACGAAGGAGGAGTTCCTCAGTAAGGCTAAGCAGAAGCATTGACAAAATTAAGCTCAGTTTTAACCCTGCATGTTCTTCAGAAGAGATGTCATGAATGAGGAGGCCCGGCTGTTCTCCAGGATTTAGCTCCTTGGAGGTTTCCATTTAGAATTGGTATCAGTGGAGTCAGATCCCAGAGACAGAGTGCCAGGAGAAATGGTACTTTGTCTTCATCCCCAGAGGCAGCCATCTTGGATTGAAGGAAGATGAAGGATTTGGATGCTTTCCTGGGGTGTTTAGTTTAGCCCTGAGATAGATTTGGGGTGCCCTGGGAATTATGTTGCTGCTGAGATGGATGAGGGAGTAGACTGTGTGCAGTCCCACTTCAGTCTGAGTCCCTATATCTGGAGGTTGTTTATGGAGATAACAAAGCTCTCTAAGTATCTGCAAATGTGGTAGTAGGGGCTGGTTGTCTAAAATCAGGCCAAGTTCTTTGTCTTCTCTCCTCTTTCTTATGTACTTTCTGAGAGCCCAAACATATTATATGAGGTCAGAGAAGTAAGGCAGAAGATGCTGGGATTCTTTAGGGAGTATCTGGGGTGAGTGGCAGGCAATTATACCTCTGAGCCTCTGAGGACCCCCAAATTTCCCTCTTCCACGGATTTCAATGACCTGACTTGGCCACTTTGTACATATGATGGGAGCAGGGATAATCTGGGTCCTTGTTTTCTTTGGGGGGTGTTTGGCCCTCACAGATTGGTGATGGAGGAGCAACGACCAATTGCTAGAATGTTGAAAACTTAACCAAGGTCAAGACTAGCTCTTGCATCTGGCCTGTGCTTGGGCCAAGTGGGTATGGCGGAGTAGGATCTTGGCATCACTTTCTTGCCAGTTGCAGGAAAGAGATACAGCTGAACAGCTTCTAGGAACTTCTCTGCTTCCTTTTATGGCAGCAATCATAAAGTCCATGTCATAGATGGGTGGGGGTGGGGGGTAGAGAGCTCCCAAAGAGAAGACCAGACACCTGGACTTCTTCCTCAGGTTTATCTGAAGTGCCAATTCATCTTAAGTTCAGAGAGACTTTGTCCACTTGGGGGCACTAGAGAAAACCATGGAGCAGCGAGTGGTGAAGACCTGGAATCTAGCCTCTCATCTTGTTGATGCAGTGCTCTGTGACTACAAGAGTTCACTTAGGAGGCACCCATTCCCCATATCCACTAAGGGGTGTCCCAGGTCACATGACCCACTTTTCCTAGACCCACCTTCTCAGGTCTGAAGGGGAAGGTGGCACCTGGGCTGAAGGAAGGTGTAGGGGTCAAGGGCTGGGCTCTTCGGGCAGTTGGGCCGCATAGAGGGCCAAAGTGTGGTGCAGGAACTGGTATTGTTCCGTGGTCTGGATCATACCCCCTCTGCAGGAAGAAACACATAGACCGCAAGCCAAGAGGGGATCAGAGGGTTTGCTGAAGGACTGTAGTCCTATTTGGCAAAGTCCTAGCTTTTCCAAAGAAAACATTAACTTCTTCACATATACGCATATGTTCTACTTCTTACTTCTTGCTGCCCCTTGAATCTCTTCTTATGAGGGAAGCCCCTCTAACCTGAGCCTGGTGTCTGGGTACCAAGGAGGAGATGCCCTCCACTAGTACCCCTCTCCTATTCAGTGTGTGGGCAGACCCAGGTCTCAGATCCCTTACAATAGTGCTTCTTTCTACCAATCTTCAAAGTGAAAATAAGAAACAGTTTCCATTTTCCAAAACAGGCTTACCTAAATTAACTCCTTCCTTACAACAGCTCTCTGGGGAAGGAGCCATTATCTCTCTCTAGATAAACAAACGAGGGCCCCAGAAATGCACTCACAACTCTCAGTAAGCTACAAGTCAAAATTTGAAACCCACGGATCACTGACTGCTTAGCATCTAGAACTAACCATACTCTTATTCCCTCACCCCCACCCCCAAGTAAGGAATTTAGGGGAAAAAATAAAATGGTTTGTTGTTGTTGTTGAAAACTCAGGGTAAATCCACACAGTGGCATATTTAGTTTTAGGCTCCCAAGCTAAAATTCCATGTAGACATTGTTCCTTGGTTGTTAGTTATAAAATAACCTAACTTTCCATAGGAAGTGCTCGATGGTGATGTGTCATGTGTCTGTAAGTACTCCAACATCCACTTGTAAAAGTGAATCTTATTGGTCCTATTTATACCCAAGGACCTACCTGTCTAGTCTCAGTTGGCACACGATACCCAGAATGTCCACTTCTCCTTTGGTCTTCAGCTGTTGACAGCCAATTCTAGTGGCAATGAAGCAACCAGTCCGGCCAATCCCTGCACTGGACATAGGCAGGGAAAAGGTAAGGCAGTCACAGATGAGCAAGTAACATGGAAGTCAGGTGACCAGCAACATGGAAGCCAAGTCTCAATTACGAAGAAAGCATTAGGACCCAAAGGCACTCTATTTTAGAGGTGGGAACATGGGGATGAAGGAAGGTATCAATACCTTTCATGTTTTTGCCCCCCTTTGGGCACCCTGATGGAGGCAGGTAAGAGCTGGCACTAGAAGCATTTGCATTTCTTACTAACTTCACTCTAAGCCTGATCCAGGACACCCTCCATTCCTACGGACATTTTGTTGAGCTGTCTTCTGCCTAACAGACTATAGTGGTTTCCAACGGACAGTCTCTCACTTGTGGACTTGCTGACCCCTTGAGCACGTCTTATTTGGCCATGACTTCCTCCTAGCTCAGACTCACCTTCCACAACAGTTTATACTCAGTCCCCTGTGTTTCCCACCTTGTCATTCCCATAGTCTTCGTTCTAGTGCACTCTCTCCTGGCATTTCTTTACTTCAAAACCCCTCTCAGGCCTTCCCTTCTTTAGAAAATCTTCTTACATGAGTCTCTGATAAAAGCCACTAATAATCTCCCAACCTTAACCCCATGGGTGGACTTAGTAGCTCCCTTTGTTTGTTTTGCCTTTATGTTCTATTTTATTTGGAATATAAACCCCCAAATGGCCTCCTTATTTGAAGTCTGTCCTGGATTATGGGACATCCTGCATTACCCACCAACCCCATCCCAATCCACATTTTACTCTGTTGTCCTAATATTATTCTTAGAAGGCAAATCCGAGTTTCTCAGCCAGTCCTATGAGGCCCTTCATCATCTGCCACTTACATTCCATTTCTCATCACTACCCACCATGTGACTTCCAGACCCTGCTCTCTAACCTTGCTCCTTGCAACGCACCTTTTTGCTTTGTTTTATTTTTTCTTTTCTGGGACTTTGCACATGCCGTTCCATCTGTCTGTTGTCTTTCGCACCATACTGTAAGCCAGTGTAAGGGCAGAAACCAATTGGTTATGACTATCTCCCTAGTACCTCACACTGTGCTTGACAACACATCAATTTTTGAGAAATATTTGTTGAATGAATAAATGACCCCCACACACACACACACATACAACAATAGAGATCTTGCTTATCTCCTCCCCCAGTCAACTGGTGCTACCAGATAGTCCACCCTTTCTCTGGATTGGGCCGGGGTGCCCAACCCAGATGTCTGAATTCTGCATAAAAGAGGTAATGAGAACCCAGCACTTGTTGAATGGGCTAGAGATTCCTGCCCAAGAGTGAGTGGGCTTGCATGATCCTATTCAGCTACCACCCCTTAGTAAAGGAAGGGGAGCACTATATACAGGCTGTTATGGAGGAGAGCCACGTACCTACAGTGGACCACGATAGGCCCAGTACTGGCAGCTGTCTCTGGGCTCTCCTCCACCTCGGCCACCAGGCGCAGTAGGGGCCCAGCTGACTCCGGGGTCTGGTGGTCAGGCCAGGCCGAGAAGAGGATATGTTTCACTGACCGGCATTCTTCCTGGTGCTAGGATGGGGACAAGTGTGAGAACCAGGTTAGGGTCCGAGGCACCGCCCCCATTCTTCTCTGGTGCAAAAGAGGGTAAAGGCTAGAATCACCCTATGGGGAATTCATTCACTAGGAGCAGGAAAGATGAGCTCTTTCTTCGATCAACATACTCTAACACTACCTCCTCTGAAATACTAGGAAAGAGCATTGTCTAGGAAGAAGGGAAAGACTCAAATTCAAGTCCTCGCTCTGCCTCTAACTAGTACATGATTTAGGGTAAATTCCTTCTTGTTGTTGCTGTTCCCACCTTTATCTTATTGTTTTACTTCACAGGGTGCTTTGAAGATAATGAGTTGAAAAAACTAGTTGCTTTTGAGCCCATTCTAACTCACAGCGACCCCCATGTACTTCAGAGTAGAGCTGTGCTCCATCAGGTTTCCCACAGCTGTGGTCTTTTGGAATCAGATTTTAAGGTCTTCAGAGGCACCCTTGGGTGGATTCAAACTGTCAACCTTTCAGTTAGTAACTGAGCCCTTGACCATTTGCACCACCCAGGGACTCCCATTGAGCTGATAGATAAATGCTTTGAAAAGTATAAAACCCCATATAGTAATAGAAGGTGCTTTCCAAGTGCATTTACATGTATTATTAGACATCTCCATCATCTTTTCAGCAGGAATCTTGCCCTAGCCCCCTTCTCACCTGACCCACCCAGCGTAGGTGCATGGTACTTTCTGCTGGTTCCTACTTGGCTTGTAAGCTCTGCCCTTTTGAGGTTTTCTGTGGACAATGTCTAGTTTTCTTTATCATTTGTGCCTCAAGTCCATCTTTCAGATGTGGGTTCAAGAGGGTCTAAATGAGTAAGCTCTTGGCTCCCACTGAAAGTTGGACTTGATTCCTAGAGATACTAGAGGTGACCCAACTTCTCTGTGGAAGAGGCCTGGTCCCAGAAGGTGGTACCTGGATAGTGAGTTGCCGCACAGTGTATTCTGAGCATTCCTTCATGTTTTGCGTGCAGATTCGAAAGGGCCCATAGATTTCCTCTTCTGTGGGCCAGTAGTGGACACATTTCTAGGAGGAAGGGAGCTGGGACTCAGAAGTGGGGAAGGTGTATCAGCTGGGACAGTGATTGAAGCAATAGAAAGAGGAATGGTATCCCCTCTCCATTTTCTACTCCCATTGGAGAGGCTGGACACTGCCAGTGTCAGCAGTGGGCCGGGGGGAGAGGAGGCTGACTTTCCATGAACTCTCACCACCTGGAGACTAACTGCCCACCACATCCCACCTCTGACCATGAACAGCCTCCCTGATGTATCTGTATCTCAGAAATCTTTCTGAGAGGTGTGTGGCGAACTGGCTATAGGTAATCTCAGTATCCAGGGAAGCCCTTGGTCCTAACGAGTTGCTATGAGTCGAGATCTGTGTGTGTGTGTAGTGGGGTAGGACATAGCCCTTCCTGCATTCATCAGGGAGTGTGCTTCTGTCTCCTACCTCCTTGCCCTCTCGGAGCTGAGTGAGCATGACAATGAGGGACACCTCTTCCTGCCACACCATCTCCCAGAAATCCGCCACGGTGTTGGGCATGGGGCCCTGGGTTGCGATGTAGACCTTCTCCTGCCCGTCATAGCCCTGAGGAGGTAGGTGGATGCGCATGAGAAGGAGGGAGGAGAGCCGTGAGAACAGAGCTCTAAGGAAACCCCAGATTCTGCAGATCCTCAGATAAGGCTGAAGTCTTGAGCATGCACATAGACACATGCATGCACATAAATGTGTTCATACATACACATACACAGAAGCTACATGGTGGAAAGGACACAGGCTAGTGAGAAGCATTTGTGTTCAAATACCTTCTTTGCTGCTTACTTACTATGGGACTATAAGCAAGTTACTTAACCTTTTTAAGTCTCCATTTTCTCATCTGTAAATTGAACATAATAATACTTACCTCACAGGAATGCTGTGAGGGTTAAACTCAATGAAGTATATTGAGCATAAAGCAGGTACTCTGTAAATGTGAATTCCCTTCCTTTCCAGCTGTTTTCTACTCCCAAAATACTATCAAGAAAACACCATTCAATGTTTGCTGAATGAATATTTCACTTTTACATATTACTTCTATATATTTATAAAAGGTAGTACACTCCTCTTTCTCCCTTTCAGGGTCCTCAGCTTCCAGCCCCACAAGATGATGGTGAAAAAATCCGGGCCGCTGTTCTCCAAGGTTTAGCTGGCAAACGGAAGCCCATGTTGGCCCACAGCCTCCTACCCACTGTGAGTCACCAGAAAACACCGTTTTTTACATCTACATGGCGGCCTGGTATGACACTGTAGGATAAGCACTAGACTGCTAACCGAAAGGTCAGTGGTTCAAGCCCACCAGCCATTCCTCAGAAATTCTATACAGAGTCATTATGAGTCTGAACAGATTCAACAGCACTTAACAAGAAGGGTCAAAAGACATAGGAAGCAGGGGACAGACAGCCCACTTAGCTTCCCAATTCCTATGATCAGATACCATCTCCATAAAGGAGGGGTGTGTTTGGGACAGCTAAGGACAGATAGAAAACAAGAGACACAGTTGAGAGCTTCCATTTACGCTTGTACCTCCCACGCAGATCCCAGAGCCATTAGCTCTCAAGGAGCTAGGGATTGAGTTCAGCAAAGCCAACATCCTGCCATGTTTAGAGGGTTGGCAGTGGAGGAGTTGGGGCAATAGGATGGTTTCAGGGGGCTTGGTGTTTTTTTCTTTTCGGAATCCTTTAATATGTGCTGTGTTTTCTAGGTTGGTGTCTCTGGTCTCTTCGGTGTCCCAGCATGGCAGGGCTATGGCCGGAGTGAGCTGGAGCAGGAGGGAAAGCCAAACAGTTGAAGCACAGTTGGAAGGTATTCTGTGAACATATCTCCCCACTCACTCGGATGTAGTTGGCATTGATGTAGTCCCCATCCTCTTGGCTCTGTGCCCGACCTAGGCATACACGGCTCTGGGGATCTAGGAAGTAAAAATCAGCAGAAGTCAGAGGTCAAAAGGTGACCAGCTAATGTAGACTTCCAAAAGGGTCAGAAAGAGGAGAGTTATGGTTTACAGAAGGGACCCAAGACTCAACAAATTATTTGATATATAGATAATAGGGAGCCACTGAACATCTTTGAGCAGTAGAGTAACACTAGTGAAGCAATAATTTGGGAAGGTCAGCTGAGAGATGCTGGGTGGAACGGTTTAGAGGAAAGTGGATGGAGCAGGAGAGACCAAGTGACAGGTAGTCTAACTTTGAGATGTTTAGATAAGTGACTTGTATAAACTTGTACATTGGTCAAGTGGGACTAGACCCCCCCCACTCAGTTTCCCTCAGCCCGCCACTCACTGGGGTTGCAGGCCCTGCCCTCTAGGTCACAGGAGGGTTCTTCAAGTCAAACACAAGCAGGAATGAAGAAACTATCTTTCAAGGGAAGGAGTGAGGACACTTGATCCCCATGTCAGCCTAGTTCTGACTGAGGGATTCCTCTTCTGTCTGGTGCTTACAGAGATGGCTGGAACTAGGCCAAGAACTCTCCCACTTGAATGAGTGATAATGGTTCCTTGACTGACCCATGCAGACAGACAGCACTCTGGGATGCTGGGAGGGTTAGCACGAGGAAAAGCACAGAGCTCTTGCTCAGACTGTGCTCAGGCTTAGATTGGGGGCTGCCAAAGGTGAACTGTCCAGATAAGACTGCTCTGCAGTGGTAGGGAAGTCCCTGGGTGATGCAAATGGTTAATGTGCTAGATTGCTAACTGAAAGGTTGGAGGTTAGAGTTCACCCAGAGGCACCTCATAAGAAAGGCCTGGTAATCTACTTCTGAAAAACCAGCCATCGGAAGCCCTGTAGAGCACAGTTCTGACACACATGACGTGGCTATGCGTTGGAGTCAGCTTGATGGAAATTTGGTTTGGATCGGAGGTGGTAAAGGCAGCAAGGGCCTTTAAAGGTCACATGGTCAGAGGGTTTCATATCTGCCTCCAAAAAACCAGAGGTGCTCAGCCCAGGGTCTGTGGAGCATGTAGGGTCAATCCCTGCCAGTCCAGTTCCCTCTATCTCCAACCTGTCACTGTCCTCTTGCTAGTCACTGCCCAGAACCTTTTCTGAGATTACTCAACTATCTCCCTGGGATTCATCCTAAAATTGCAAGCCTTTGCTGGGTTTTTCCTACATGGAGGGTAGAGAGCAGGAGGAAGTTTTGGTGCAAGTAGCTGTGTGATCTTGGGCAATGTATGCAACCTCTCTGTGCCTCCACAGGGACAATGTGTACCATCTTGCCCCTTCCCCCACTCCCACAGTCCTTACTTGGCAAGATGGTCTTGTATCGGTCCTTGGAGGCATGGCCTGGAATGTCCAGGTCTTCAGGGCTGACAAAGTTCGAGGGGATCTTCTACCAGGAAAAAGAAATGAGTGAATGAGTAGCTGATACCTCTCCTAGCCTCCTTTTCACCTCTTCCACCCTTTTCCAGTAGAGCTGGGACCCTGTCTCATTCCTTCCTGACATTAGTATGTTGGCTGAGATGGGATGGGGGACAGAAGAGGAAGCAGGGGGCAGCTCCTCCCCTGAGCCCTGAGGGGTCTAAAGAGGAGACATGACCACGGTCCCCATGATAGAATGGCACCAGCTGACTGCTTATCACTCCAAAGGACAGGGTGACTCAGAGAGGACCCCAAGTTCTTACCAAGAACTCCTCCTCCAGTTGTTGGGGGCTGGGTGGCTGGTGCTGCAGGGTCCAGCGTGTAAGGGGATGACCAGCCGTGCGCAGAAAGTGAAGGGTGACCTCCCGGGGGGTGTTCACTGAGCAGATAGGTTCCACAGCCCCCAAGGACCGCACGTCCAGCATCAGAGCTATGTTGGAGCCTCGCCTGCAGGCACAGCCAATCAGTGCCTAGTGAGCACCCAAGAACATGTGCTCTTCTTACTATTATCATTGTTTCAGGGTACTCCTGAGCAGGTTGCTCTTTGTGTTTCCCTGGACCCTCAGGCTGAATTAATTCAGGGGCTCTGGTCACTGTTGTATGCCCTCTCCCCTCAGTCAGGTGCTCTAGAATACCACTGTTCTCACCAGCTGCCCACTGCTTCCTACTCCCCACCAGGCCCCTAAGGCTGGGACCTACATGCAGCCCCAGTGAGGCCCCAGGCCTTGCCCCAAAGGCTGTTTAACTCAGCCTTGGTTGATGTGAAACCTTGGACCCCAGACATACAAATGACATGTAAATGAACACAGTTGGTTTCCTTTCCAGAGTGGAATCCACATCGGAGGGTCCTCTGTACTGTTAGAGCTGGAGGGGCAGGTGAAGGAACGGGAGGAGCCTAGAACCCCTAGCCAGGAAAGGTCTTACCTCTCCTGCAGTCGTACATGCTTCTTGACTGGCGCTTTGGTAGGCAGAGGCTGGGCCATGGCTGTCCCCAAATACACGGTGGGTGGCTGAGCTCTCGAGTGTCCCCCACAGGCCTGGACCATACTGGGGTGGGTGGGGGGCCCAGGGAAGGCTCACTCAGTCATGGGTTCTCCTGAAAGACATGGTCTCCCAGCTGCTGACCTCTGCCCTGCCTGACTGGCCAAGCCCAGGCCAGCCTTCTGCCCCGTGGCCACCTCTTGTTTTCACTGGGGTGTCTTCTGTTGAAGAAGTGGTTTCATCAGAGAAGGATAGGATCTTTGCAGGGTGACTCAGGGTGGTGGGCAGTCTGGGATCAGACAAAGGGCAAGCTAAAGGGTAGAAATTATGAATGAAGATAGGAAAGAATCCAGAGGGAGAAAGAGAAGGGAGAAGAAACTGCTAGCACCCAGGGTAACCAGGCTCTAAACTGGGCACCCAAGAGAGAAAATGCAAGCAAGGAAATATGAAATATGCCTTCTACATAGACAAAGGGGAGAAGTTCTGGAAAACTCCGCAAAGTCTGGCCAGCACGGGTTCTTAGCCGAATGAGGAATTTAAGGCTGTGGTCTTGTTGGGGCCTGTTGGGGACCCATGCATGCAGGGCTGTGGATCCCTAGCAGGGCCTGCTCCTAACTATTGGCAGCTCCTTTCCCAAGTTCATTGCTGGCTTTGGGGTCTCTGTCCATGGAGGTAGGCTGGGGGGTGTTTCCTTCCTCCTCCTGCCCATCCCCCCTGCTCCCGCCTCTGTAACTGTCACAGGAAATGGTTTCACCAAGTCCTTGAGCGAGAGCGCATGGTGAGGCGACAGCTTGGGGAGCAGTAGGGGGTATGGAGGTGTCTGGGCCACCTTCTCTGGGGGGACAGTCCCCCTTCTTCCATAGTCACACTACTGAGTGGTGTGAGGAACTGAGCCAGCAGGCACCAAGGTAAGGACACTGAGCTGGACCCTGCAGATATGAATAATAGAGAGGCTCCCCAACACCAGGAGGGGGCTCTTAGTGTCTGCTGTCCTTGCAGCTCCCTGCAACCTCCCTGCCATCCCATTGCAGGAACACCAGATCTCTCAGCACCCATCCCCTGGCCACCCACTGAAATAATACCCAACTCGCTGTCCCATGTCCCCTCCTTCAAGCTGCTCTCCCATATATCCCACAGGGTTTATGCCACCCCAGAGCCAGAGGGATTTGCTCACTCCCCCACTCAATACTCACTGAAGCAGCTATGCCCCCCAGGCTGCCTCTTGCCAGCTGTCTGTCTATCGGTCTGTCTTTGAGGGCTGAGAAGGCTTCAGGAAGCCAGCTTCCTCCCTCCGCCCCTCCTCGCTGCCACCCACGCACACCCCAGCTGTACGCTGCCCTCCTGTGCCTGCTGCCGCCACCAGGGGTCAATGCTCCTGCCTGTGCCCTTCTAGGGGCAGAATGGTAGTTACCTGGCATCTTTACCATGGACCCAAGGGCTTGCTTCCTGGGGATGGGTGAGGGGCTGGGCCAGGGACTGGGTTTTCCCTAACCACTCTGTTTCCTGAGCTCCCAAACCTTCTTCCCACATGCAATGTCCCTCCTCTGGGGCTTTGTCATATCCAGCTCTGCCTATTTGCTGGGACTCCATGGTCAAGCACAGACTCCATTTGCCCAGAGAAGATATGGCAAAGACTTGGGAAGGCTTAAGGAAGAGCCAGAGGGAAATTCCCAGGTCTGAGTCAAAACAGTCATCTCCAGGCTCTGAACCACAGTCCAGCTCTCAGCTGCCTCTGAACTGAGCATACAGCAGCCATCTGAGGAGCAAACTACAGAGGAAGCTTATAGGAGAGTCTGGGGGCCTCCCTGAGTCTCCACATTCCCTATAGGCCTCCTCCCAGGACCCTGATACCTACTCAGAAGACTTAAAGACAGTGGACAATCTCTGGCCCTCATACCTGGGGGCTCCCATGTCCTCTTCGTCGCTGGGATTCTCGGATACCTGAGGCCTGGAGAATGGTCCCCCAATTCAAGACTCCACTGTTCCCAGTTCTTGCTTGGCCTCAACAGGCCCCTTGCTGGCCAGCAGTCCAACCGGTCCATGCTTGCTGCAGGTCTCCTCTTACCTTGTGACATTCCAAACACCCTTCCCTTCCCGGCCCCCAACACGCACAATCCTGTCCTCTCCCTCTTCCTCCCACTTCTCTGATTCAGCTGTCAAATGGTGACAGCGAAAAAGAAATGTACAGTAGGCACAGGGGGTGGGTATGCAAGAGGGGGTGCAGGAGGGAACTGGCCTTCCCATGGCCCCTGCTGAAGCAGGGAGGATAACTTTTGGGGCTTTGGAGCCCACCCAGTCCCTAGCCTTGCCCTTGGTTGTTTCTGAGTCCCTCCTTGGCCAGCTGATTCTGGCTTCTTCACCTCTGTAGCTTGTGCTTCTCTGGAGAGTAGGTGAGTTTCCCTGGGAGGAAGCTGACGAGAAACTGGGGAAGCAGTTATTTCTGGTGCCCACAAAGGGTTGTGGGGAATGGAGCAGGACCTGAGAATCCTGGATGGACTTGTGGGAAGTGAGCTGACAATAGTTAATATTCCCAGAGATAGTGGGGGCCCAGGGATAAAAGAGAGGTGAAGGCAGGAGGGGATTGGAAAGAGGGCCACCCTCTCTGGGCTGAGCTGTCAAATGCTATCAAGAACAGGAAGCTAGGATACCACAGGGGTGGGGGAGGAGGAAGTGGGCAAAAGCCTTCCCCTCAGCAGTCCTCCGAGTGCCCCAGGTTTCCATGATCTGAGCCCTCTGCTGGCTGTGAGCACACTTCCAGACCCTTACGAGACTGGACCCCAGTTGGGAGTTGAGCTCTAGGGCAGAGAGCAAGGAAGTTGGAATCTAGGTGATGAGGAAAGTAGTTGGTGATCAGGGGAATAGGGGATAATGATTGGGGGATTAGGCAAGACCCACAGGAGTCTCCTGGTTCTGGTTCTTTTGGAGTATGCTTTGGGGGCATAGCCACTCCTTGCTTTCTGCCAACTCTCTCTTTTCCTGCTTACAAATTCCTGGACATCCATGGAAGTGTGTGGCTAGAGCTCAGGATGAGTAAGCTCACTCAGTGCACATGGGGCATCTGCAGTGGCTCCTCCCCAGTGGGTCTGGAAACTGGGACACCTCTCTCTGGAGTACACTCTGGCAGGAGGGTGGACTTGGAGGTCCACGGGGGTGTCTTCTTATCCTCTTCCCTCCAGAACATGTCCATCCCTGGGTGAGATTGCTCCAGGCAGCTCTGTCTCTTCTCTCAAATTGCTGAGTTGCAGCTTAGGTCCCTGCGACCCCCTCATCCCAGAGAAAGTGCAGTAATTAAGTGAAAGAAAGATGTGTGTGTGCGGCTAAACTGTGGCTTATTAGCCATGTGACCATGGGAGGGTAACTGAATCTCCTGAGTCTGGGCCTCCTCCTCCCCCAGGAGACCCTGATAGCTTCCTCTCCCTCATTAGGGTCAGCCTTGTGAATGAGAGCTAGGTGCCTTGGGTACACAGTGTTCTGAGGGAGGGACCGGCAGCAGCATACGGGTGGAAGGAACCACGGGTCACTAAGTCTCATCAATCGTCGGACTCTTGCCCCTTCCTTCTCCCTGCCTTGCTTTCTCCAGCCAGCTTTTGGAGAAAGGAAGTCTGAGTCAGGTCCATCCCAGGGATAGGCAGCTTCTAGAGGGGAAAATAAGTCACTCCTGGGGACCTGCAGGCCTCTCTGTCCTCCCAGGAGCCCAGATGGAGCAGAGCGCACTCCAGAGAAGCAGAGAGAAGTTCCCAGGCCTGTCTTGTCCCATCTGTGCTCAGTGTCCTCATTCCAATGGACCTCTGGCCACACACCTCCACACTCTTTTACCTCACTCCTTCAGGCCTTCCCTGATTCTAGGGCTCCCTCATGTGGGGCAGGTATATCCCGAGAGTTCCCAGAAATCCTTGTTCCCTGGCAACACCCAGGGAGCAGGGAGCTCTTTTGTAGGCTGCTGCCAGCCCACAGAGGCAAAGGCTGTCACTCTATAAAATTCCAAGGGACAGAGGGTCTTGGGACAGGGTCAGGACAGCTGTGTTCTGCACACTTCTTCCTCACTCCCCTCTTCAGTTCCTCTGTGGGGAAGTCCTATGGCTGCTCTGTGCTCCCACCTCCCTGCCCGCCCCAATCCCAGGCCAATCTAGGCCAGCTTCTTCCACCCCATCTTTACAGGCCCAGACTTGTCCTTGGGCTGTGTGGGGGAGACAGAAACACACAGATCTGAGAGGCTCATCCAGGAAGAGGCAGGGAGACACCACACCGGAGGAGACTTGGTGAGTGTACAGAGCAGAGCTGTGCTGATAGGGTGGTGGGAGTGGGTTTAGTTAACCAGTTTAAGGCTGAGGGAGGAGGAGACCCACTGACCACGTACCAGGGCTATAGTCCTATGCCAGGCCATCCTCATTGCTCCTCCCCAACCCCGACCCAGTTTCATGACCACCTTTTGGTGCTCACTGGTGAAGGCGATTTTCCTGTAGCCCTCCTTTGACTGAAAGGACCAGAGATACAGGCAAGCTCAGCTGTGTGTGTGTGTGTGTGTGTGTGTGTGTATATGCTCTAGGGAAGAGTTTGGTTATTTGCCTGGTTTCTGGAACTAAAGGACACTACCGGAGGACTTTAGAGCCAAAGAGAGTCCTTCTCTTTCTCCTGAGCCCAGAGCCAATGAAATGTACATCTTTCCTATCATGTGGCCCTTTCTTCCCAGGGGCCCTCTTGTCTCCCTCCACCCACCCTTTGTCCCTAGACACCCACACAGGCATACAGTTGTGCAGGTGAATGCACCTCCATCCATCCAGGTGTGTGTACCCTTGCGGCCCACCTGTGCACATGCATACACTGCAGTATATATACCCACAATGCAGTGCACACCACCAGCCTGCTTCCTCCAGACCCACTACCTTCCTTATGCCTTGGCAATGGGACTCTGATGACCTTCCCCAGAGTATGGGAGGGAGAATGGGCAACTTCTCTGTTTGAACCACCCTGGTCCTCTCCTGCTTGTGATTGCCTGGCTGCAGCCTGTAGGAGAGGAGGGGAGGGGCCGGAAGAGGGTTTCTGGGATGCTGTGGGGAGTGACCAGGCTGGCTCACATTTGGGAGCTGGAATACAAGGATCTGCACCCCGCCTGCCTCTGCCACCAGCTGGCTGTCTCCAGAAGAAATCAGCAAGGTGCTCTGAGACCTGGGGAGTACCTCAGGCTTCTCTAGGGAGAGGATGTGGGTTTGTCTGTGGGGGTGGTTGCTGGGGAAGGAGGTACTTTATTTGCCGACTGGACAGGCTTAGACTAGGGAGGTTGCTTCTTATCTGCAAGAAGTGTTTTTTACCACCCCTGAAACTCCTTTCCCATCCCCAAGGCTGCCCCAGACTGAGGTGGGAGAATGGCATGTGTGCCTCTGCCAGGCTCTGCCCAGAGGACTGGCTGTGGAATCCATTCTGTCCCTGCTGGCTTTTGTTTCGTGGGGACTTGTGGGAAGAGTCTGGGACCCTTCCACTCATATAAACACATATCCTGTTACATACAACTTCTCTACTTAGATTCTGAACTAGGATGTCTCCACTTCACTTCTTTCCTTGAGTGCTACTGACCAAGACTGTACTGGAAGGAGCAAAGTGAAGTGCCCCAGGTAAGGTGGGACAGGCTGGATAGGACAAAGGTAGGAGACTCCTGGTCTGGCCAGATTGGAACTTCCTCCCTTTCACATCAGTTCTCCCAATTGCTAACCCCCACCTCTTTTGAAAGAGCACGCGTGTGCACACACATCCACACACAGCCTGGAAAATCTGATGAGTCTGCAGTGCCGAGTTTCCAGGCCCCCATCCAGGGGCCGGGTGGGCGGCTCTGAGGTTTGGGGCTGGGTGGAGTGGGGGAGGAGCAGGCTGTCCTGGTTCAACTTGAGCAGAGAGCACAGCCCAGTGGGCCTCTGAGCAGAGGAACCCTCCATGCTGGGGCTGGCCCCAGGGACTGTCTCCCACAGAAACTGCCTTGCTATTTAGAGTTTCTCTACCTGCCGCTTTTTCTTATGTGTTCTCCCCACTTCCTGAGTTTGCATCTGCATCCTGGCCTTCCTTCCCACAGCTCAGCTACTTCTCCTCCTTTTGCTCTCCCTCTGCTCCCCTCCCTGCCTTCTGCTGTCTTGGGGTGGGGGTATCTGGGTGAGCAGCTCTATGCTGGGGTGAAGCTATGCCTCAAGCTCAGTATCTTCTAGCCCAGGGCTCTGCAGTTCCAGGCAGCCAGGTGGGAGCTGGGATGGGGTAGAGGAAACTGGCATGGGTTCCACTGACTAAAATACTGGGAGGTGGGGACAAGCCAAAGTCCTAGGGACTTGACCCTCTTAGGGGCTGAGGAGCAGGCAGGGTGTGTTGTCCCTGCTAACTTCAGCAGAGTCAGAAGTCCCATGTTCAAGTCTAGTTTGTCTCCTGTGGGCCAGACCCACCCAGTCTCTGGATGTTATCTTCATCTGGCAATGAGGCCAGGTGGGCTCTTCCAAGTCTACAATCGCTGGGACTCAGGCCTCCAGGATGCTGTCCTGTGCCTCTGTCCCCACGAATTTGGTGCCATTTGGATCCACAAAGAGAGATACACTCATAGTGCCCATTGAACCAGGACACACACACAAACACACACACACAAGAACACAAATGTCCTATCTCCCACATGTTGAAGGAACCAGTAGATACTACAGCCTTCTTTCACTGTCAGGGAGTGGGAGCCAGTCTCCTTCTCTATGTTCACCCATCCACAGGGCCATCTCCCCAGAGTAAGATGTCTTCCCTGGAAGTGGGGTGGAGGTAAGGGAGGCAGAGGGAGGAGGTGGGCTTGTCTGCAATCTGAGTTACAGTCCCCTTCTACCTTCTGGGCCCAGAGCCAGTCTCTGCCTCTCTCCCCTCACTGAATCTAGGCTGGGTAGGCTAGGAGGGATGTGTCACGGCCTGGGGTGGAGTGGCAGCCCCTTGCTCTTCCATGCCTGCTGCCTTCAGCTTGCAGCTCTGGCCTTCCCACCCTTGCCCGCCCACCAGCCAGCCAGCAGGGCAAGGGGAGGGCTGAGAAGGGGAGACTGGCTCCTCCCCCATTACTTCCCAACCTTCCCTTGCAGACACTGGGATGAGGCCCCCAATCCTGATCGCTGTCCTTCTCTTGCTCTGGGGAGTTTGGGCAGAGGTAAGGTGGGCGCAGGAGGTGGGGGGCAGGCCAGACGGTTAGGACCCCTGCTGTCTAGGGTATGTCCCAGCTCCACTCCTCTCCACGGGGCCCCACGGTAGCCACAGCTGGTCTGCAGTAGGCTAGAACAGAGGCTCTCCCCTCCCATAGAGGCCAGCACAGTGGACAGTAAGAACTGATTACTCTGGGCTCCTTCCAGCAGATAACCCTTGGGCTGTGTCTGGGGGAGTGTCAGACCAGATGAGAGTCTTCTCTCAGGTCCTGTGCCTCACAGGCTCTCACATCCATCCTCCCCCCTTTCCCCTTCTCTCCTTCCCACAGGAAGAGGAATGCCACTCCCTGGAGGAACACCCGGGTGGGGAGAGTGGAGGTAGGTATCTGCAATGGGGAAGCGTGGCTGGGGTGGAGGGTGGAGGGCCAACCCCTCTGCAAAGAGCCTGCTTAAAAAAAAAGCCCTTTTTGCCTGCCCTCCTTCTGCAGGGCAGTTGGGTGTTGGGAGATTCTGATTGCAGCTGTTTTCTCCCCAGGACTCCCCCTAAAAGTGAACATCAGCAGCCAAGGGACATCTACTAGGCTTTTTGTGAGCTGGGATGCTCCAGAGCCAGGGGGGCCTGGCCATGCCCTCCACCTCACCCGCCTGAGTCCCCTCGGCTCTCCTGAAGGGCAGCAGCTCCAGGTCCACACCAATGCATCTAGCTTTGAGTTTCAGGACCTGGTGCCAGGGAGTCGTTATCGACTGGAAGTGACTGCCCTTCATCCTTGTATGCGGAATGCCACGGTCACCCTCACCACCCGCACTGGTGTGTGGTCTGCAGGTTGGGTGGCGGGGGCATTGATTAGGGTCTGGGCAGGAGGTGGCTGCCTAGGAGGGCTGGCAGAGGACAGCGTAGCCCAAAGGGGCCAGTTTTTCTGAGGACCAGGCCAGGTGTCCACTTGGAAGCTCTGGAAGCTGAGGGAGATGCCCCTTGCCCTCTGATCTTGGTGCTTTTTTCTACTGTGCTACAGCCCCAACGACTGTCCGGGACCTTCGACTCCTGAGCTCTGGGGACCCATCCACCTTAGAGGCCTCCTGGGGTGCTGCTCCTGGGGAACAGGATGGCTACCAACTTCTGCTCTACCACCTGGATTCCCAGACACTGGTACACAATATCTCCACATCCCCGGTCACTCTGTCCTACAGCTTTGGCAACCTCTCACCAGGGAGCGAGTATGCTTTGGAGGTTACCACCTGGGCTGATCACCTCCAAGCAAAGACCAGCATCTACCAGTGGACAGGTAAGGTGGGTGGGCTTTTGACCAAAGCCCCAGCTGGTGGCCAGGCTGGTAGTGGTGAGCCCAGAGCCTCACAGGTAGGTGTGTGTCCCAACGTGGTTGTGATTCTGGCCTTCCTCTCTCTTCAGCTCCCGTGTCTCCGGATAACCTGGAGCTGCTTGCCATGGGCACCAGTGCTCTGCAAGCCTCCTGGAACAACTCAGAGTGGGCTGCCTGGCTCTACCTATCACTCACAGACCTCTTGGGTGGCACCAACCTGACTGCAGTTGTTGGACGGGGGGTCTTCAACTATACCTTCCTTCACCTATCTCCGGGGACCCCCTATCAGTTGATGCTTACTGCTGTGGCTGGGCCCCATCGGGCAGCGGGACCCAACATCACCGAGTGGACCTGTGAGTGTCTGTGTTGGGTGGGGTGTGTGACAAAGGCTGCTCAGTTGTGTCTCACTGGGGAAGCAACCTCTGATTAGCGCCAGGGCACAACTGTGGGGGAGGAGTTGCTTTGGAATTTTGCAGGGAAGGGGTAGGGCTTGGAGGATAGTGTGCCCCTCCAGATGGCTGGTAGAAGTGCCCATCTGAGAAGAAGATGATGTTAGGTATCACCACTCGAACTGGGTGCTAGGTGTTCTCTCTGTGTTACCTCACTTAACCCTATGTTAGTGGTGGTTGTTAGCTGCTGGTGAGTCACTTCCTACACATGGCACCCCCGTGTGTACAGAGTAGAACTGCTCCACAGGGTTTTCAAGCTGGGATCTTTTGGAAGTCAATCATCAAGACTGTCTTCGGAAGTGCCACTGGGTGGGTTTGAAGCACCTATTTTGTGGTTCATAGTCTAATGCTTAAAGGAGCTCTAGTAACGTAGTGGTTACGAGTCAGACTGCTAACCTCGAGGTCAGCAGTTCGAAACTACCAGCTGTTCTGCAGGAGAAAGATGAAGCTTTCTGCTCCTGTAAAGATTTACAGTCTCGGAAACCCTATTCAGGGTTGCTGTGAATTGGAACAGACTCCACAGCACACCACCACCAACACCACCAGTCTAATGCTCTACCCAGGGACACCGTGTTAGTGATACTGTCTCCATTTTACAGTAGAAGGAACTGGGTGGGCTGCCAGAGGGGCAAGAACCCAAAGGTCACACAGCTTCTAAGTGGCTAAGCTGGTCTGGACCTGGGTTGAAAGCCTGCAGAGCCTGTTTTGGCTTTTCTGAGCTTCCGCGTGGTTTTACTCAGAGAAGCTCTGTTGTGTAGTGGTTAAGCACAGTGGATCCAGACTGCCCGGGTTCGGAAGCTTATTTCTGCCACTCACTGGCTGTGGGTCTTTAGACAAATTTCTTGCCTTCAGTTTCCATATCTGGCAAAATCAAACCACCACTGCCGTCAAGCCTCTTCATATATAGGGTTTCCGAGAGTATAAATTATTATAGGAACAGACAGTCTCATCTTTATCCCAAGGAGCAGCTGAGTTTGAACCACCAACCTTGCAATTAGCAGCCAAACACCTAACCCATGGGGTCACCAGGGCTCCTTATATCTGGAAAAGAGGATGACAATAGTAGTGTCCATTCCCAGTACCTGTGTGCAATAAGGGGGAGACCCTCCCTGCAGAGTACTTGCTACCATGCTAGTTATTTCTCTCATTGTTGTCCATGGTCAGATGCACAGATCCCAGTCTTCATCCAGAGCATGACAGATGGTGGCTACTGGCATCTGAATCAGACAAGGTCCAGTGTGTATAGAAGTAGCTGGCCCAGAATGAGTAGGGCTTTTCTCATCCACTGTTTAGGTCTTTATGTACATATTGGTTCCTTTTCTCCCCAGATCCCTCTGCCCCGCTAGAACTGGTGCTAACCCCCCTGCCCCCAGAGCTCTGGGCAAGCTGGAAGGCAGGCCCAGGTGCCCTGGATGGCTACCTGCTGAGGTTAAGTGGGCCTGTGGAGAAGAATGCCACTCTGGGCCCTGGGGACCTGAATGTCACATTCCCAGGGCCCCTGCCTGCTGGACACTATGCTCTGGAGCTGAAGGTCCTGGCTGGGCCTTATGATGCTTGGGCCCAGGCCAGTGCCTGGTTGGATGGTGAGTGTAGCCTAGGGGCATCTGGTGGAGTCATGCCCAGGGCATCTGCTTCCAGAGGCAGATGGGCCCTCACTCTTTGGGGCATGGCTCTTCTCTAGATTCTGCAGTTCAGCACAGACAGAACCATGGCGCCACACTGCAGCTGGATGGGCTGGAGGCAACCAGGGAGCCTGGGAGGCGGGCTCTGCTCTATGCCAAGGGTGCCCCAGGCCTCCTTGGAAATATCTCTGTGCCATCTGGTGCCACCCAGATCACGTTCTGTGGGCTGGTGCCCGGGGCCCGCTACCAGGTGGACATTGCCTCATCTCGGGGAGTCATCACCCAGAGCCTCACAGGCCACACAAGTGAGTCCCAGCCACAGTGTCCCTGGGCCCTGGACTATAAGGCCTAGCCTTAGAGAGGGGAGAGCTGGGGAGGGACGTTGCAGGACCACAGACACTGTATGGCTCCCTTGCCAAACCGCCTCTCTCTTCAGGACCACTGGCACCGCAGTCATTGGAAGCTACCATCAGGGACAGCCCCTCTGAGCTGACCATTGGCTGGACCCCAGCACCAGGGCAGCGGGAAGGCTACATGGCTGCCTGGCACCAGGAGGGTAAACCAAGCTCACGCAGCAGTCCTGTACATTTGGGCCCAGACAATTCCAGCCTGGCTCTGAGGGCTCTGGTTCCGGGCTCCTGCTACACTGTGTGTGTATGGGCCTGGGCGGGGAACCTCAACTCCAGCATCCAGAGGACCCGTGCCTGTACTGGTGAGTTCCAGGCTGCAGCCTCTGGGGACGGCCCCAGGGTTGAGGGGGGAGGCTGGCTTCCTTTACTCTCTGCCCTCCTGTGGGCCACATTCTTGACTCAGAGGGCCAACATAGTGTTGGCCCTTTCATTGGTCTGTTTGCAAGCATTTTTGACTTCCTACTCTTAACGTAGTGATTACAAATTGGGCTGCTAATGTCACAGTCAGCAGTTTGAAACTACCAGCTGTTCCATGGGAGAATGATGAGGCTTTCTGCTCCCGTAAAGATTTATAGCCTCGGAAACCCTGTACAGGGTCGCTATGAGTCAGAACTGACTCCACAGCACATAACAACAACCATTTGGTTAATCACCCACCCACTCATCCTTTCTTTCATTCACCCATCCACCTACATACCCACCCATTTACCCATCCATCCATCCTTCCTTCCATCCTTCCATCCCTTCAACAAATTTTTAATAAAGCCTCTCATTTTCTCAGTGTGAAGTTAGGTTCCAAGGCTAAAAACAATCAACAAGATTGTCTAGAAAGGAAGACTGACAAGCAAACAAATGTAAATTTTATATGTAAATTATGTATGTTATTTCAAGTTATATTATAATACCATGTAAGTGTATTTATGAATTGGGCTGCAAACCTTAAGGTCAGCGGTTTGAAACTACCAGCCGCTCTGCGGAAGAAAAATGAGGCTTTCTACTCCCGTAAAGATTTACACCCTCGGAAACCCTGTACAGGGTCGCTATGGGTCGGAACCAACTCGACGGCACTTAACACCAACAACAACAAGTGTATTTACAGGAATATGCACACTGTATTAACTTGAACCATATGAAACTGCATTTTTTTGCAGGTTAAAATGGTCAGATATCAAATATTGGGATTTTTATGGGAGTCATCCTACATCTTTTAAGTGTTCACAGAAGCGAACCTGTCTGGGAGGCAGGGAAGCTTCCCGGAAGAGGAGCGTGAGCCGAGTGGAAAGTGTGTGGGGCTGGTGGGGTGAAGAGGAGAGGGCTTCAGCAAAAGGTGAACCATCTGCTGAGGCCTACAGTGAGAGAATGCATGTGAGGAGGGAATCAGGACCCATAAGGGATACCAGAGAATGGGCATCGTGGGGGGCACTTCAGGGGACACACATGAACCAGAGGCCGCACTCCAGGAGTGGGGAATGGGTGTCAGACACCCATTTCCTTCTGGAGAAGGAAAGGAGAGTGAAGTTCTGCCTATGGAAGCTGGACTGTGTGGCTGAGAACACTGGAGCTTATTTGGAGACTGAGGGGAGGGGCTACATAACAGGGAAGGAGAACGTCTGAGAAGCCTGGGACTCGGGGGATTCCAATTCTGTTCTTCCTTATCCTCACAGTCCCTGCTCCTCCTGCCAACCTGAGCCTGCATTTTGCTGCCCAGCCTCCTGTCATGATGGCTTCCTGGAGGCCCCCACCTGGAGTCCGAGATGGTTTCCGGCTTCGACTTTATCGCTTGAGGCCCCTGTTTCTGGAATCTGAGGAGAACCTAACTCCAGAAGCCCAGAACTTCCACTGGGTCCAGCTGACCCCAGGCACCAAGTTCCTGGTGCAGTTAGTCACTCTGCGGGGCCCGGATAACAGCAGCAGTGCCAATGCCACGGGCTGGACACGTGAGTGCCCACTTGGCTCTTTGAATTCCCAGGGAGCTGTGGGTGTCCTTTGACTGCTCAGTCATGTGTGGTCAGGCAGCTGGGCTGACTTGCAAGCAGGTTCCCCAATCCTTAGATACAAGGAGACCCCATTCCCCCAACCAGGAATCCCTCAAGGCCCTAGCTTGTCAAACTTTCTAGAAGGCAGAAGAATTCAGAGGTTTTCTCACTGGTTTAGCAGTCATGGGCATGCCTTTCTGAAGCTTTTCTCATGGTGTGTACTTGGGTGGTACTGGGGGCCCAGCCAGGGCCAGACCTGGAGCTCTCATGGGGCCATGAGTGGTTGATACTAACAACAGTAATAGTTAATGTTCATTAGCATGAGAACCTGTGTTTTCTCATTTCCTTCTCATAACAGATCTGTGAAATAGGTACTATAGTTCTATCCATTTCACAGATGAGGAAACTGAGGCAAAGAGAAGGAAGGAAGCTTGCCCTAAGTTCCTTAGCTGTAAATGAGAAGTTGTGATTTAAATGCAAGCATTGTGACCCAGAGCCCATGCTCCTTACCCTATACTAACCCCAGACTGGGAGGGGAGAGGAGCAGAAGGTCCTCAATGAAGGCACTAGAAAGAGACATGGCATTACAGCAGTGGCAGGAAAGCCCACAGAGCCCATAGTAGGGTTGGGATTTCAAACTATTTTCCATGCTGGCCTGAGTCCTACTGGTTTACTGCTTGCTGAGTTCTTGAGGGAGCTGCAGAGTAGCAGGTGCCCCCACCCGTGGCATCATTCTTCTCCAGAGTGGTGACCTCCCCCAGGTCCTCCCCTCTCAGCCTCCTCTTCCACCTCAGAAACCTTCCCTGGTTTTCTCTAGACTTTTCTCCAGTCTATGGGACCTCAGACAGGCCTGGGAGGGAGTGCTATATGGCACTGGAAAGAGCTTTGGCCTGGGAATCACCAGACCTGGATTCTAGTTGTGCCTTCGTACCTGAAGCTAGCCTGGTCCCTCTCTGAGTCTCAATTTCCTCATCTGTAAAGGAGCCATTAACTGGGCGCCTAGCCATTAACTGTGTGACTACAGGTCCTGGCTGAAACTCACAGACACCAGCCTGCCCTTCAGAACCCTGATTTAAGAATCCATTTAAGGGTCTTTCAAAGGGTTCCCCAGGCAGCGCAAATAGTTCAGTGCTGAGCTACAAACCTAAAGAGTGAAGGCTCAAATCCACCCAGAAGCAATCGGCTTCTGAAAGGTCAGTCATTAGAAACCTTAGGTGCATAGTTCTACTTTGAACCAAATCGATGAAACTGGTTTGAAGTTACTTGAGTGCTGCAGGTGGGAAAAGCCCATGATTTAACTCTAGCTCTGCTTTCAAGAAGGGTGAGCGGTGGGTGATGCAACAAACACTGAGCTTTCACTCTGCTATCTGGGGATAAATGGTGTGTCCTGACGCCATGTTGCTTATAAAGGAGCAGAGTTACAGGTTCACTCGTGAACCTGAACTGGGGTCTCAGACTTGCAGATGTTTCTGAATTAGGGCAAGGATGGAGGGAGGAGTAAGGAGATTTGACTTCCAGCGTTCCTCTTGATCTCTCCATGCCCTGTATCTTGCTCTCCCTGTAGCTCCCCTTGCTCCTCCTCTGGTCACTGTGACGAGTGAAGGCCCTACGAAGCTCGGGACATCCTGGGTCCATGCTCCTGGGGGCCGGGATGGCTACCAGGTGACTCTGTACCAGGCAGGTGTCTGGGCAGGCACCAGCACTGTGGGACCTGAGGAGGATAGCACCAGCTTTTCAACTCTGACTCCAGGCACCAAGTATGAGGTGGAGGTGGTCTCAAAGGCTGGGCCCCTTCAAGCTGTGGCAGCCAATGCCTCTGGCTGGACTCGTGAGTGGGGATGGGATTAGGCTCTCCCCTCAATGGCACCTTCATCTCTCCTTTGCCCCATTTCCCCACCTCCACACCCAAGGGCTCTAACTGGGGTCAGTGAGCCCTGATACAGTGGCCTGGGCTTTCAGGGGCTTGATCTCTCTCCTTCCCTCCACAGCCCCGCTCTTGCCCAGTGAGTTGTTGGTGTCCATGCAGGCGGGCAGTGCCGTGGTCAGCCTGGCCTGGGCCAGTGGCCCCTTGGGGCAGGGGCTATGCTACACCCAGCTATCAGAGGCTGGGTACCTCTCCTGGGACCAGCCCCTGGTGCTCGGCCAAGCCCACCTCATCCTGAGGGGCCTCACACCTGGACGAAACCTCTCATTGTCAGTGCTGTGCCAGGCGGGTCCTCTCCAGGTCTCCACTCACTCCGTGGTGCTGCCCGTTGGTATGTTGATGTCTGTGGGGGAGGGCAGACCCCAGTCCAATCACAGTGCTGCTCATCCTACTCCAGCCCCCTGCTCCTCCCAGGTGGATGTTGTGGGACCCCCTGTGGAGTCTTTTTCCCTGTGCTTCTGTGGAGGGGCAGTGTCATCCAATGGAGAAGGTGCTTCCCTATGTGACATGGGTCCTTCTCTGTGGGTACAAGTACCCAGCCCTTTGCACCTGATGATTTTGAGAGCCCATGCTGCAGATAGCTTACTCTTCGGGTATAGTGAGTCTGACCCCCACACAAAGCAAAACCTTTGACCTCCACAGAGCCTGACCCTGTGGAGGATGTACAATGTAAGCCCGAGGCCACCCACCTGGCCCTGAACTGGACGGTGCCCACCGGTGACGTGGACACCTGCTTGGTCGTGGCAGAGCAGCTGGCAGCCGGAGGGAATGCTCACCTCATCTTTCAGGCCAACACCTCTGGAGATGCTGTCCTCTTGACTAACCTGGTGCCCTCCACGTCCTACCGCCTCAGCCTCACTGTGCTTGGTAGCAATGGGCTGTGGAGCCGGGCGGTCAGCCTGCTGTGTGCCACTTCTCTGGAGGGTAGGTACTCCCCACAGACTCCGGAGCCACTTCTATGCCCTCAGTTTCCCTCCACCACTGCCTGCCTGACGTTCTCACTCCTCGATCCTCAACCCTGTCCTTTGGCCTTGATCTTGCTGGGTTAATACCATATTTCAAAGAGAAATTGTAAATATATGAGGGTAACTCAAGAAGTATTACATACAAAGGTTCCAGTTCATACATGCATGGGTTTATTCATGTTTAAACATGTCCTTGTCATCAGTGGGCGGCTGCAGACAAGTTCTGTCAGTAATGTCAGTGAAATGCTGTTGAGTCAGTTCTAATCATAGTGATAAGGTTTCCAAGGAGCGTCTGGTGGGTTTGAGCCACTAACCTGTGATTAGTAGTCCAGTACTTATCCTACAATGCCACACTTAGTTTCATTAGTGTGCCTTCCAATAAAAGGTCCGAGCAAAGCTGTAGGTTCCAAGGGGGTTCTGTTGGGCTAGATCAATTCAAGGCAGAGAGGTCAGCTCAGAAGGCTATGGAGACTGTTTTTTAGGATTCCAAAGTGTCATCTTGTTAGATTTTTTTCCAAAGGGCACAGGATGATCATGGGAAATGTTTTATGAAGACGTTTTAAGAAAATGGAAAATTGCATTAATGAGAAAAAGGCCAGGAAATTTGTCCTGAGGACTTTTTTCCCAACACAACAATGTGCCTACTCATTCTTCAAGGGTAATGAGGGCTGTCCCATGAGAATTTTCTTGGGAAACCTTACCCCATCCACCCTACTACAACTCTGATCTTGTCCCTTCAAACTTCTTTGTGTTCCCAAAACTCAAAGGACATTTAAAAGGAACATGATCGGAGTCCTTCAAGGATATAAAAACTGCTATTTTGAGGTGGCATGAATCCAAGAGCATAGAATTCTTCGAGGATGGGTTAGAAAGATGGAAACACTACCTTCAGAAGTTATACACCTAGATGGAAGATATGTGGAGAGACAATAGCTTCCCATTTTTATATGTTAGCTTAATATAGGGTTGTATGATTTTGTAGCAATACTTTGTGACTTACCCTGGTATGTGTGATGAACCGTTTGCTATTTCAGGATTTTTTTACAGTGACATTAATTATTTACATCATGCTGTGCAACCACTATCCCTTTCCAAAATGTTCTGTCATCCTTAACAGAAACTATTATCTCTAAGCAGTGAAGCCTCCTTTTCCTCTCCCTGCTACTCACACCTTGTCTCTATATGCTTGTCCATCCTAGATGTTGCATATAAGATGAGGCCAAGCTTTTGAGCCTCATGCCCTGGCACCATGGCTAGACTCTTCCCTTGTGGTTTAAATGTACCCATCAGCCACTTGTTGTGGGCCTACTGTGTGCCAGGCTCTGTGTGAGGCACCATGGATGATACACAGACATATACACTGCCCTGGAAGACTGTTAGACACCCTATTCTGACCTCACTCTCCTGCTCCCCATCTCCAGCCTGGCACCCCCTAGAGCTAGCTGTGGCCCCCCATCTGGAGCTTGAGACAGGGATGGGAGTGGTGATCAAGCGGGGCATGTTTGGTGAGGGTGACGGGCAGATCCAATGGTATGGCATCATCGCCACCACAAACATGTCATGTGAGTACTGGGCCCCCCAAAGGTGTGGGGGACCAGGCTGCTGCCCAGTTTGGGATGTGAGGGGGGTACAGGGACCGAGACTGGCAAGATGACGTATCTGAGGCTGACACTGGATAGTGGGTGTAGTGAGCAGGAAGGAGACAACGCTTGTTTGAAGATAGGGCTGGTATTGGGTATGGATGGTGGAAGCATGTTAGAGAAACTGGGGTGCCTCTCTGTGATTGGGAAGGAAGTCTTAGTGCCCCTGATGACCCTGTCTATCCCTCCCCTGTTCCTTTCCCAGTGGCTCAGCCTCCCCAAGAAGCCATCAACCACACCTGGTATGACCACTACTATGGAAGACATGAGTCCTACCTGGCCACCCTGCTCCCCAACCCCTTCTATCCGGGGCCCTGGGCTGTACCAACATCCTGGACGGTGCTTGTGGGTACAGAGGACTGTGGTCAGACCCAGGAGATATGTAATGGGCAGCTTAAGACAGGTGCTCAGTATAGGTAAGGTCTAAGGCTGCATTGTGTATATGGGGGATTATAAATTGTTGTTTGAAATGGGGTGTTTACACATAGTTCAACAAAAGATCTGGTCTAACTCATGAAGAGTAGTTATTAACATTGGGTTTCCTGATAGGCAGGGCAAAAAGGGGAACACCCAACTGTTACATGGTTCTTTTTTCAGAAAGGAGAGGGGGAAGTGGTGGATTCTGTTTCAGCTTGCCAAATCTATGCCAATGATATTCAGATATCTATTTCTAGGGCATATTTTTGCTCTCTGAATCGGACAGGGAAGATTTTAGAAAAGCTAGGGGAGGTTTGCTCTTAGATGACAGGTAGTTCAATACACAGCTTCTAAACAGACAAGGGACATTCTCACTTTCTGCATGTCTGTTGCTCATGGAGTCCTGGGAGGGACTTTATACCTTCTTTGTGTGCCCCAACAGAAGACCCTGTTTCTCTGGCCAGGTTCAGTGTTGCTGCTTTCACCAGGTCCAGTCCTCCTGAGCCCAGTATCTCCTTCTCAGCCTTCTCAGGTAGGGTGGGCACCTGGCTGGGGTTCCTGCTGGCCCTGAAATGGGAAAGAAATGCTGGGGCCCCTCTTTGGAAGTTCATTTCAGCAGGAAGGACTAGAATTGCACTGGTAGGCTGGAAGTAGAAACAGAAGAATCAGAGACTCTTTGCCAATATCCACAATTATACCATCGCCCACTGCCTCCTTCAGCTGGGCGCCCCAGGCTACTGGGCTTCAGAACAGCACCGTCCACTTGTTGTTAAGTGCCATTGAGTCAGTTCTCAGTCATAGCGACCCTGTATAGGGTTTCCCAGGAGTGGATGGTTGGTTTGATCCGCCAACCTTGCAATTAACAGTCCAGTGCTTATCATACAGCGCCACACCAGGACAGCACATAGCACTGTCCACTAGAAACATAAAACCAGCCACAAATGTGAAAATGTATTTAGCATTTCTTAGCAGCCTTGTTAAAAAAGTAAAAAAGAAACAGTTGAAAATAAAAACATATTTAAATTAAGATATCAAAATCATTAGGAACCCTGGAAGCATAGTGGATTAAGCAATGGGTTGCTAACCTTAAAATCAGTGGTTCAAACCCAACAGCTGCTCCTCAGGAGACAACAGAGGTTGTCTACTCCCATAGAGATTTTCAGATTTACAGTCTTGGATACTCTAGGGATGCCTTTTTTTTTTTTTTAAGCAAGATCATTTACATTCCTTTTTCTGCCTGTTGTATGATGTTGAGTCAGTTCTGACTCATAGTGACCCTGTATAGAGTTTCTGAGGCTGTAAATTGTTGTTGTTGTTGTTTTTAAGTACTGTTGAGTAGGTTCCGACCCATAGCAACCCTGTTTAGGGTTTGAACCACTAACCTTGTGGTTCTAACTGACATTGCAATCAGAGCATTATCCTGCAGTGTCAATATTTACAAGAACAGAGAGTCTCATCTTTCTTCCACGGAGTGGTTGGTGGATTTGAACAGCTGGCCTGTTAATTGGAAGCCCAATGAGTACGCCACTACACCACCAGGGCTCTTTTTGGAGTGTGTGTTTTATACATAGAACAAGTTTCAGTTCAGACTGGCCACATTCCAAGTGCTCTCAGTAGCCACGTATGGCCAGTGACTACCATACTGGATGGTGTCATTGTTGCTGGTTGCCTTGGATTCGGTTCTGACTCATGTCACTCCCATATGTACAGAGTAGAACTGCTCCATCGGGTCACCAAGGCGGTGGCCTTTCAGAAGCAGGTCACCAGGACTGTCTTCCAAAGCACCTCTGTGTGGGTTTGAACCACCAGGTCTCTACCACACAGGCACTCCTTGTTGGATAGTGTAGTTCTAGAAATTTCAGGCTGCCCGGCCTCTACCCTCCTTCTTTTCTTTGAAGGCACCAGGAAGGGGTGTCTTTGGAGTGTTACTAGGAGGTGGGACAGAGGTTATCTGGGTGTTCTTGAGTCTGGCCCTCCGTTTGGTATCTGGGACTTCTAGGGGTGGGGGTAAAGAGACAATGTGCCCTCATCCCAGTGGGTCCCAGAGCCTAGGAGAGGTTGGTAGAGTGGAAGAAGGCTGCCATGCTCCCTCACTCCCTGCACCCCCCACCCCCCCATACACACACAGAGCCCCGTGCCAGCGTTTCTCGGATGGCTGTGCCCCTTCCTGTGGTGGCGGGCACCTTGGCGGGCTGTATCCTCACCATCTGTGTCGTGCTGGGCCTGCTGTGCTGGCGGCGAGTCAAAGGGCAGAGGTGAGTCTGGTGGGCTGGGGCCCGCCTGGCTGCTCTGGCCTCCTTGACTGCCTCCCTCACTTCTCTTCACCTTTTGTAGGGCAGAGAAGAATCCATTTTCTCAAGAGCTTACCGCTTACAACATGCGGTGAGTGCTGTCCCCTGCTTCCCTGCTGTGGTAGGAGTGTTGTGGGCCTCCCTGCAACCTGCTCCTCTGAGCTGCACCCTCCCAACCCCCCCGCTCTCCACACACACACACACAAGGGTAACCAGTCTCTTTCCTGGGGTAACCCCAAGGACTCTCCCAGTGCACTGGGCCTAGTCTGCCTCCTCATCCTCCTCACTCCCCAGTTAACTCCAGCCCCACCTTCTCACTGACTGACTACTGGATCCTGTCTCTCTCTTTTCCCTCTCTCCTCTCCTCGAGTAGGCCTTTTCTTCTTTACACTGACTTCATGTTGAACTGACATTCATTGAGCACTGGTTGTATACAAAAACCCCTGTTCCAGACCCTGTGCGGGGGCTGAGAAACCACACCTGTGCATACCTTGCTTGCTGGTCTGGGCCCCCACCCTCCCCTCCTCCCTTTGTATCTTTCCACACTGGTGGCTCACAGAGGAAGTGGCTCACAGGAGCACTTGGACTCCCACCTAGGGAGCCCAGCGGCTGTGTTCTCACCAGCTTTTGGGTTGGACAGCCAGGACCAAGGTCCACTGCTCTGTGCCCATCACTCCCTCTCCCACCAGGAGGACCCACAGGCCAATCCCCATCCAGAGTTTCCGGCAGAGCTATGAGGCCAAGAGTGCTCACGCTCACCAGGCTTTCTTTCAGGAGTTTGAGGTAAGGCTCAGTGGAGTGAGGAAGAGAATACAAGACTGAAATGTCCCCCACCGCTGCCCTGCCTAGTGAACATTGCCTGTCCCCAATTTCTGCAGGAGCTGAAGGAGGTGGGCAAGGAACAACCCAGACTGGAGGCCGAACATCCTGCCAATGCCACCAAGAACCGCTACCCACATGTGCTGCCCTGTGAGCATGTGATCAGGAGAAGAGCATGGGCAGAGGGCAAGCCTGGCGTGGAGGAGGGGGCTGCATGTGTCCGGGCACTGAGGGCATAAACTTTACCTTCTGCAGATGACCACTCACGGGTCAGGCTGACTCAGCTGGAGGGAGAACCCCACTCCGACTACATCAATGCCAACTTTATCCCAGTAAGGACTGCTGGCAGTGTGTTTGTGGGTGTATGTGCTCCGGCAATGGTCTGGTTTGCAGTCATGCTATCCTGCCCAAGTTCTAGCTGGATATCTATGAAGGGCTTCTGTTTCTGTGGGTCAATCCAGCAGGTGTTTATTGAGTGTCTAGGTGGTACAAACTCTATATGCTCAGCTTCTAACCAAAAGATTGGCAATTTAAACCTACCCAGAGAACCAATAGATCCGTTCTGGAAGAAGTGTAGCCAGAGTGTTCCTTGGAGGCCAAGATGGCCAAACTTCGTCTCTCATACTTCAGACATATTGTCAGGAGGGATCAGTTACTGGAAAAAGATATCATGTTTGGTAAGATGGAGGGTCAGAGATAAAAAGAGGAAGATCCCCAATGAGATGGATTGGTCAAGTGGCAGCATTGATGGACTCAAGCGTGGCAACAGTAGTGAGGTTGGCCCAGGATCAGGCAGTGTTTCATTCTGTTGTGCATAAGGTCGCTATGAGTCGGTACCGACTTGATGGCACCTAACAACAACAGAGGCACCTTGGAAGAAAACTTGGTGTTCTACTTCTGAAAATTCAACCACTGGAAACCATATGGAGCATAGTTCTACTCTAACACACATGAGATCATTATGAATCAGAGTTGATTCAATGGCATCTGGTTTTTATTGGATGTGAGGCATTGTGCTAGGCTGCAGGAGAAAGGGCTGAGTTAGCTGTTCTCCCTATCTCCAAAGGAGAATATGTGTGTGTTAGACATGACAACACAGTGCAACAAGTGTTGCCATAAGGGAACAAACACAGTGTTAAGAGCATGTGGAGGAAGGAACAATTTGGTCCATCTCCAGAATCCAGAAAGTCTTTCTCGAGAAGACACTTGATGCCTTCTTGAAGGATGAATAGAGTTTTGATAAATTGGGAAGATAAAGGGGACATTCTGGCTGAAGAGAAGAGCCAGAATGAATACAAACCTGTCCCAGGCAAGAACAAGTTGAGTAGAGGGCAGTGTGGAGTGAGGGTGGTAGGTGGAAGGACGGGAATGGTAGGTTGTTACTGGATCAAGGAGGACTTTGATTGTTAGGCTGAGGGCTTTGTTTGGTGGGTGATGGCGAGTCATGAAAGATGTTTGAGCATGGGAGAAGCAGAGTTTGGTTTTAGGAAGGTCACACTTGAATGGGTGAGGAGGGTGGACTGGGGAGACTTTTTTGGCATGTTAGTATCTTGTTATTTTCATGTCGGTTCTTGCCCTTTAGAAGTAGGCATGGGTGGTGGTGGGGTCTCTGAAGTCCCCCATCTAGGTTTGAGTCCTTGTTGCACACATGTGTTCACATGCTGTCACATATATTGGAATATACACAGTGTTCTCACACCCAGGTTACATGTGGGATATTTACTGCTGTGTGCTTGTTGGGGTCTACCTGCTAACATGTTCTTGTCCTCTACCACCCATACCCAGGGTTACACCCACCCGCAGGAATTCATTGCTACCCAGGGGCCTCTCAAGAAAACTCTGGAGGACTTCTGGAGACTAGTGTGGGAGCAGCAGGTCCACATCATCGTGATGCTGACCGTTGGCATGGAGAATGGGAGGGTGAGCACATCTTGCAGTTTCCAGAAATAGCCACCAGGTGGCACACGTTCTCTTTATAGGAATGGCCATAGCGTCCTGTCAGGGACGGTGAATCAAACAGGAGCGAGCGATGCCCGCTAAATTTGAGGTTGATGATGCTCCCAATTGGGAGGCAAGCAGGAGGGGCCAGGTGCCCTCAGCTTGACTCAGTTTCCAATGGCCTCTGATGGTCTCATCGTCTCTCGATAGTAAAGGGTTGAAGAGGTCGGAGATGAAGGGGTGAGGACTGGCCCAGGGCAGGCACTGAGGGTAGGGTTATCGTACATCCTTTCTTTTAATAAGTCTAGTGGATGGCTCCGCTGTGTCTGCTCAGTGCAGGGCCTTGGGACAGAGAGGGTGCCTGCAAGAAGAGTTTGCTTTCCAGTCAGAGCAGCGAGGCAGGGCCAGAGAGTCACTAAGTAAGGGCTACCACATTTTACTAGTGAGCCTAGGAGCTAACTCAAAACCCTACAGATCATATAAGAGGTCATGGTTGAGGGTGCTGGGTCCAGCTAGGAAAGAGAGACTTCTAGAGAATGTGACGTTAGGGGTGACAGAGAGAATTTCAGCAGGGTAGGAATCCTGGTGTGGCACTGGACTGTGGTGGTCCAAACACACCAGGCGCTCCACAGGAGAAAGATGAAGCTTTCTGTTTTTGTAAAGATATACAGCCTAGAAAACAGGGCCACTATGAATGAGGTGGGAGGGCTGGGGCTGGGTAAGTTTTGGGGTGCTGAGACCTGCTCTAACCTTCTGGCCCCAGGTGCTGTGTGAGCATTACTGGCCAGCTGACTCCACCCCTGTCACCTATGGCCACATCACTATACACCTCCTGGCCGAGGAGCCCAAAGATGAGTGGACCAAGCGTGAATTCCAGCTGCAGCATGTGTGTATCCCAGGGAGATGGGTGGGGTGGACATTAGTTCTGAAACTCCTTGGGGGGGGGGGAGGTCTCGCCTGTTGGGTCCCATGGCCTCCTTCCTGAGAACTTCAAGTCCTCAGTCTCTACCTAAGCACTTGGCCACTGCCAAGGACTTCCAACTCCCCTGGGGAGCTAGCTGGTGGTTAGGGAACAGTAATGAGGCACAGAGAAGGTTAAGGATGTAGTCAAGGGTAGAGACAGACAGGAAGTGAAGTCTCTGCCCCGTCTGTGCTCAACGCAGGGCTCCCTTCTTCACCTCACCCCCTTGTGTCCATCTGCCTTCCCTGCTACGACCTTCTAAGGCAGGAAGCCAGAGGCCAGAGCCACCCTTCTGTGTGGGCACCCTCCATATAGAAAAGGATCCAAGGGCTCAGAGGGCATCCAGATGGAGGGGGAAGACAGAGACACCATCTTTAAGGAATACCCAGCTGGTGAAGGCAGTTTCAGGCCTGGGACCATTGAGTTTGATAAGTAGCGGCAATCTGCTCCCCTGCTCCACCTTCTGACACAGGCTTCTGAGCAACAACAGCGCAGGGTGAAGCAGCTACAGTTTACTACCTGGCCTGACCACAGCGTGCCTGAGGCCCCAAACTCCCTGCTCACCTTTGTGGAACTGGTACAGGAGCAGGTGTGGGCCTCCCAGCGTGCGGGGCCCATCCTGGTGCACTGCAGGTGAGGACCTGCTGCCTGGCCGTGGGCTGGAGGGAAAGGGGCTCTGGAGCCACAGGGGTATGGGGAGCCCCTGCACCCATTCAGCTCCCTGGGACTTGTCTCCACAGTGCCGGTGTGGGCCGGACAGGCACCTTTGTGGCTCTGACAAGGCTGCTGCAGCAGCTGAAGGAGGAGCAGATGGTAGATGTGTTCAATGCGGTGTATGCTCTGCGGCTGCACCGGCCCCTCATGATCCAAACCCCGGTGAGGGTTGCCTTGAGCTGGGCTGGGCAGCTGCAATCCTGAAGGAGTGGCTGGGAGGTGGATGGCTGTGGGGGCCACAGGATCTGTAGGTTGTGGAAGGAACCAGCGATTCATGGAGGCACAGAGAGGACCCTGGGGATGAGGGGGACTTGAACATACAGAAAGTGATGTTTCCCTTTTTATAGAAGGTGAGGTGGAGCAGGTCCCTGCCAGCTTTTTGATTGTGAGACAGCACAGGGGCACCTTGCTCACACTGTCCTGGTCTTGCTAGTGGGGGTCTAGAAAACCTCTGCTGGGCCTCCCTCCCTCAGTGGACCTGCCCCTCTCCCCCTGCCAGAGTCAGTACATCTTCCTGCACAGCTGCCTCCTGAACAAGATTCTGGAAGGGCCCTTGGACACCTCAGAGTGAGTCTCCGCTCTCCTTGGGCCCTTGTGGGGGTGGGGCGCAGGTTCTCTGTGCCCTCCCACCAACAGGTTCCCACTACTGTCCTTGAGCAGAGCTGAGAAGACTCGGAGCGGGAGCTGGGGAAGCTGGAGTGCCTTCTCCCCTCTCCACCCCTCCCCCAGGTCCAGGCCTATCTCCGTGAAGAACTTTGCTCAGGCCTGCACCAAGAGGGCAGCCAACGCCAACGCTGGCTTCTTGAAGGAGTACGAGGTGAGCTTCAGGACAACAAATGGATGACACGTAAGGACAGCATTCCCCTGCCCAGCTGGCACTTCTATGGGCTCTGCCCAGCCTCAGTGCCCGTTTCTCTCCCAGCTCCTACTGCAAGCCATCAAGGAAGAGGCTGGCTCTCTGACGCCCCCTCCTGGCTTTGAGCACCACAGCAGCGTCCTCTGTGAGTTCACACACCCTGGATGGCGGGGAGGTGGGGGGGGCAAACATGGAACAGAGTCCTCTAGTGAGACCTCTGGCAGCCTCAGCCTCCTGTATCCCCACAGACGATCGTTCTCAAGTGCAATTTTCTCCTTTGGAAGAGAGTACCTCTGACGAGATGCCTGAAGCCTGGCTCTTCCCTGTGAGATGATACTAACCTTGTCCTCTCTGGCCATTTGGGCCCTCCAGGCTGGGGTTACTGAGGGATCCCAGAGATATGGGATGGGCAGGGGTGCCATCTGTCTCTTGAACCAATGAGCTGTGTTCTGCAGGGTGGGCCTTCCGGTAGAGACCACGTGGTGCTGACAGGCCCCGCTGGGCCGGAGGAATTCTGGGAGCTGGTGTGGGAGCACAGGGCTGAGGTGCTGGTCTCCCTGAGCCCACCTGACAGGCAGAAGAAGGTGAGAGGACCAGAGGGAGGGAGAGGAGGACAGTAGATGGGACTGGGAATCCAGGGAGAACTGCCTAGCCTGTCTTCAAGGCGATCCTGACTTAGTCCACCCCACCTTACCCCCAGGAGTTCTGGCCCACGGAGCTGCGTCCCATCATCACAGATATGGTGACTGTGCACTGGGTGGCCGAGAGCAACAAGGCAGGCTGGCCCTGCACCGTTCTCAGGGTCACACACGTAGGTGTTGGGCCACAGGGAGAGGGCTTGGTGCCAGCTTTACTCTGCCTCCCTGGCACCCATGTTGTTGGGGTCTTCTCACCCAGGGGGCAAGCAGGAAGGAGAGGCAGGTGCAGCAACTGCAGTTTCCATCCTGGGAGTGCGGGCATGAGTTGCCTGCCACCACTCTGCTGCCCTTTCTGGATGCTGTGGGCCAGTGCTGCTCCCAGGACAAGAGCAAGAAGCCAGGCACACTGCTCAGCCATTCCAGGTGCTGTGGACAGACAGCTGGGGGAGTGGGCACCAGGACCCCTCACTGCCCGCTGGCAGAGCCTCACTTCTCACTGAGCCATGGATTGTGGGTCAAAGAGCACAGTCTCCTAGTGCCCTGTCTCCCCCTACCCTTCCCCTCAAGTCTCTCAGGGATGTGGCTAAAATGGGCCCCTCCCCTGCCTGGACCCAGGAAGCCTGACAGACTGCCTAGTATCCCTTCCAATCCTTAGCACTATGTTGGGTTTTCCCCACATACCCAGATATCCTCTTCCACACCTTATCCCCCCCACCTCCCCAAAATAAAAACAAACCCTCCAACTGTGGGTCCATTGCAGCAAGGGTGTGGACCAGCTGGGCATCTTCCTGGCGATGGAGCAGCTGCTGCAGCAGGCAGGGGCAGAGTGCACCGTGGACGTCTTTAACGTGGCCCTGCAGCAGTCACAGGCCTGTGGCCTCATGACTCCAACGCTGGTGAGAAGGAAGAGGGGCTCAGCAGTGGAAAGGGATGGGGAGGAAGGAAGGAAGGAAGGTGCTGCTTCAACTAAAGGAGACCGCTAGGCAGCACCATTGGCACAGCCTCCAGGTGGCGCTGTGGGCTACTATGCGCTACAACCGGAACAGACACTTAAGGGGCTAAATGATATCAAGGAAGCATTTCTTGGTTATAACTGGGCAGGTAAGGTGAGGCTTCTCACTCTGCCTCTGCCCCCAGGAACAGTATATCTACCTCTACAACTGTCTGAACATCGCGCTGGTGGATGAGCTTCCCTGAGTCAGCATTGGCCACCACACATCTTAGGAGCAGACTGGGTTTGTGCCCTGCTGGGCAGTGAGGGCTGAGCCCTGCAGACTCCTTTAAGCCTGGCTCCTCTGGGAGGGCTCTGTGCTGTGAAGGGGCAGAGTTGGGGAATAAAGGCATGTAGACAAGCTTGAAGCTGAGTGTGTTCTCTCTCCCATACTCTGAGGAGGAAAGAAATGGTCTCACAGACCTGAGGGACATGGGATCCCAAACAAGTTGCTCTGGAGTCAACATGGAGCAGGGCTGGGAGATGGGTCTTGGGGCCTGCTGACTCACAGCCAGTGTGATGTTGACTTTACCCTATACCTCCAATTTCCCAGTTTCCTCAGACTTTAGTCTCTCCACCTCTAGTGCCCTGTGATGCCCTGGATTCAGAGTCCCACCCATTCAGTATTCCCCCTCCCCAGCTGCCACTTCCTTCATGCAGTGGTACCTCCCTACTGTTAGACTCTCTCCCCTGCCATTTCTAGCTTTTCTTCTGGCCAGAGTCCCCAGCGGCCACCCTCAGTTAGTGCCTGCTACCTTTTCCCGACTGGGAAGGCAAGAGCCCAAGGCTTCACTGCTCCCTTGGAAGGCTGCCCCTCAGGCTGGAGTTGCTCCTTCCAGCTCTCTTCTTTCCTCCCTTCCACATAGCAGGGATGTGAGAGAGAAAGCAGTGAGGGGGTTTGTGGCAGTGTAAAACCAAGAGAAACCAAAGACCAGGAAGGGGCATGGGGACAGGGCTCCCAGGTGGGGTGGTGGGAAGCAGTCTGTCCCACACGTTTTAGGGCTGAGCCACACACAGTATGACATGGTCAACCTGGGGTTAGACTACAGGTTCTGAGGAGCAGGGTACCTGAAGGCCCAGTGGCAGGCACTGGGAGGCTACTGGTGGAGGACCTGAGAGGATAGTGAGATTACCTAGATAAATCAGAGCCCTTGAAATGGACTTAGAGCCCCAAAATGGAGAAGGAGCTGAGTTCACACTGGCCAAACTAACTTCCTAGGGTGTGCAAGGGGTCAGAGGACAGGGTAGAGCCCTTCTCAGGCCTGGATGGAGAAGGGGAACAGAGGTAGGGCTTTCAGTTCAGTCAGAGCGATCCTGGAATAGGGTTAAGTTCATGATGCTGACATCATCTTCATTCGCTGTGACCTTCAAGTACACAGGCTGGAGACTTAGCTCCATCCAAGTGAAGATGGTGATCTAGTCAGGCCTGGATCCCTCACAGTGGAGCAGTAGGAACTGCAAACAGGTGTGGGGAAGGGGCAGTAGGGCCAAGGTATGGATGAGTTAAACCAGAAATGCAGGTAGAAATGGAGACCCTAAGATGGAAGTGACTTTCAAGATCACGCAGCAGATGAAAAGCAACATCTGCACAGGACAAGGAGGCTTCCATCTGAGGGTCTTTCTGGTTGTGAAGAGCCATTCTCTGGCCCTCCTAGGAGCCTCTTCTTTCAAATTCAGCGGTATGGTTCAAAGAAGAGGCCTAGGCTCAGGGTCTGCTGGCTTTTGGGTCTAGCTCTGCCACTCCTCAGGCCCTGGGAACTCATCAGGAGTGACAGAGTGGGATGGGGCTGCTAAGAGGGTCCTAGCGGCATGGGATGGGAGGAAGCTTGGCTACCTGTGAAGTTCCAGGCTCCTGGTGTCCATCAGAAGATCACTCAACTGTATGGGCCACAGAAACCAGGACAAAGGGTGGGAGGAGGGAGGCACACAGCCTGCTCCAGCTCTGCACCGGTGCTTGGCTCAGTGCCGTAGGGGCCTGAGAAAGCAAAACGCTACATGAAGATAACTCAGTCTGGTATAAGGAGTGAACAAGGACCACAGTCTTAGTCCTTACACCTCCAAGGCCCTGGGGCTGGCTGAACTCCGCCATCTCAGAGTGGTTGAATTGCAGCATGGAGCCCCCAGGTGGCGCCAATCATTTGATTTATAGGCAGCTTCTGACAACCAGCTGGGCAGAGTTCCTAGCCCTTGTTGGATCCTCAGAGCAGGATCAAGGTGATCCCTAGGACTTAAACCTGGCATGGTTGGCAAGTATATGAAGGGCACTCAGTGGATGAAAATCAGTACCTATGTCTCTGATAGCAAGACATGTCCCCTCAGGGAGGGGCTACTCCTCACTGCTCACTATCCCCATCCCAACCTTCAGGGGAAGCTGCCACAGTCTGACTGCTTGTAGACAACCCTTTACTGCCCCGCCACCTCCCCCCCTCCAGCCCCCTCGCCTTAGGAGACCAGGTGAAGAGGACTAACTCTGAGTTCCAATTCTAAGGTTGACTCACATCTGCTGTGTGACCTTGATTTGAACAAGTCACCTAACCTCTTAGGATCTCAGTTTCTTCGAGTGCTAAACTTGATAGAGATGGGGTGCTTGGGGGCGAAGTGTATGGGAGCGTTAAGGTCTCTTCCAACGTGACCCTTGGCTGTCCCCAGATGCAAAGAGGGTCCCAAGCCTCTCTGGGACACAGTTTTCATGCAAGCGCAGGTCCTTGACATGCTGAGCTCTGCTTGCTTTGATTTTTTGGTTTTGTTTTTTGCTTTCTTCCTCTTCCACCCCCCACCCCCCTCCCTGGATGAAATTCCTGCCAGCTCGGAAGGAAGGAGGGAAGGGGAGCTAGCCGCAGCGTAGAAAGTTTCCTTGACTCCTCCTCCGCCTGTGTCTCCCTCCCTTGCCAAGCCCAGCCTGAGAAACTGAATAACGAAGATCACTCAACAATGCCTGCCCCTCTCTGACTGCACCGTCCCGTCCCTGCGCTCCCGCCGACACCAAAGCCGCCGACGCCAAGCAAAGCCCGGCGGGCGGTCCCCACCGACGGCGAAGCCCGCCGCCCGACGCGGGAGCAGGAGGCCAGCCGACGCGGCTCCTGCGCCCGTGCGCTCGCCCGGCTGCCGCCAGGTGCCCCATCAGCCCGGCCGCCGAGATGCCCAGCCCGCCCGCGCTCCGGGCGCTGTGGCTTTGCACCGCGTTGTGCGCCTCCCGGGGCGTCGGCAGCACTCGGCAGCCGGGGCCCGGGCCCGCTGCCTGCCCGGCCCCCTGCCACTGCCAAGAAGACGGCATCATGTTGTCGGCCGACTGCTCTGAGCTCGGACTCTCCACGGTGCCTGGAGATCTGGACCCCCTGACGGCTTACCTGTGAGTATATTCCCTGCATGGTACCCTTGCTCCGCCTGGCCGCCCACTAACACCGGACCTGGGCCTCAGCGGAGGACACGTGTCTGAGAGGTGTTCTGAGGCTTGGGGGCATGGGACGGCTTTTCCTATTCCAAGTCGACTTCTTAGAATAAAGATTGGACGAGATGTAAGCCTAGGCTAACCCTGTCCCCAACTTGGTTTCCCATTTAATCGATGTGCTTATGGTTGGTTCACCTTGTGGGAGCCCACGTTTGACTTCTGCTTCTCCTCTGTCTCTCCAGCAGAGTCAGCAAGACAGTGGTTGAGGGCAAATCGATTGAACTGGTGGTGGAGGTGAGGGGAGGGAGTTACAGTGAGTAGTTGCCTGTTCTCTCCACCGCAGAACAGAGCTGGTACACTGAGGTTTGCCGGCCTTCAGTGAGGGCATTCTAGAAACTGAACTGGGAGAAAGAGCTTACCCACTATTGTCCCTTCAGAACGAGACCCTGACAACACCATCTCCCTTCACTGAAGCTTCCTGGCTCCCCCAGGGGCCTCCCTGAAGTCATGTCCCAAAAGGCTGTGTTGGAGACACTAATTTGTGGGCAGGCACCGAGGCAGAAAACCAGGGAACCATTTTTAGAGTCCGAGTTGGGGTGAGGTGGAGCATGATGGGGACCCTTTTGGGGCAGCTGTCCTGGGTGCAGCTCAGAAGCACTTCCCTCAGAGCCTGGGGGTTGGGGGGTTCTGGCTTTGTGCCACCTGAGCAGGAGGAGGGGGTGAGAGCACATTCCAGACCACCTACCTCCACTCCCACCCTTGCTCTGGGGAAAGGAAGCATCCTTCAGCCCAGCCCTGCCCCAGGCTCCATCACCTTCTTCTCTTGAGCAATTGGGAAAGTCCGAGGACATCATTGGCTTCAGGGGAAGTGTCGTGGACTCCTAGTCTGAGAGAGATCCCACAGGGCTTTGGGGTTCTAGGATTTGGGAGCTTAGAGTAAGAGAGGAGCTGGGTTTGCCAGAGTTTGCTGACCTAAATGGGACCAGGGCCATCAGTGTTGGGCAGTGTCCTAGTGGGGTGTTGGGGCCCTTGAATTGCAACCTGTTTCCAGAAGAGTAAATGGATCCTTTGCAGTCCAGGGCCTGAAGGCAGAAGCAAATGCAGGCTGCAAGGCAAACATCTGTTAGTCCAAGTCCTATACAGCTGTGATGGGCTTTAGCAGCTGGCAGAGGAGGGCAGACTCTGGTCCCCACCCCTGCAACCCCCAGGGCAGCCCCATTTTTAACCATTTTGTATATGGCATTTTTTGATTTGATGGCAGGATTGTTCCTAAAAAGAGTTTGAAAATTACTTCTCTAGAGTCATTCTCTGGAGTCCTGATGTGGCGCTGTGGGTTAAGGCCCTGGACTGCAAAGTTGGTGTGAACTTCAAGGTTGGCGGTTCAAGCTCACCAGCCACTCCTTGGAAACCTTGTACAGGGTTGCTATGGGTTGGAATAGACTCCGTGGCACTTAACAACAACAACAAGCGTCATTCTCTGACCAAGTAGAAGGAATATTTCATGCCTGAGTTGAGGAGGCAGGGCAGATAGGGTCTTCAGAGGTTATTGACCCTTCCTCCTTTCCTAGAACCGTAAGTCTTCCAAGACTGATGGGTTTTGGGTTTTTTGGGGGGGGTTTTTTCTGGAAGGACTCAGGGAGGGAGAGGTACAATGCCAACTTTGGAATGAAAAAGTGCCACTATTCAAGTTGCTGGAAGATCTTGCCACCATTGTAGCTGCGATGTCTACATTGGATTCAATAGAGGTGGTATTTTGGGAGCTAGTCTTGGGTCTCCCTACAGCCTGAGAAAGCCCCTCTCTCAGATCATGCTCTGGGAGGAGAGGGAGTATGTGTACTGAGACAGTGTGAGGAATTTAGCAATGAGCTTTGGAATATTGGTTGGAGGTGGAGCAGGATCATGTCCCCTGCCTTGGGCTATGGAGGGGTCACATCTAGATGGTATGGAAAAGGGTTCTTGGTGGTGGCAACTCTGCTGAGGGTGGCTCAGAGGAGGAGTCTTATTTCTTTGCCCTTTCAGATTAGCAGCCCAGCATTTGAGGGAGGTTTAGAGGTGAGGGTTGTCACTGAGAAGAACCAGGACAAGAAAACCTTGGTGCTCATTTTCCTTCTCAGCAATGTTAGGAAATGCCCAGCATGGTCTTGCCCTCCGTAACCAGTTAAAAGAAGCAACCAGTGCTTGCTGCAGATGATGTACATTTGTATATGATGGTACAACTAGCAATGCCTCTCTGTCTGGGACACTCAAACCTTGGTTTCTGACTGGATCTGTCGCTGAGAATCATTGGACTATTCCAACTAAGCCTCAGGCTCTTCATGTGCACATGGAGAGAAGCAGGTTGCTGGGAGGATTACAAGACATAGTATGTACTTTTAATGTACCCAGCACAATGCCTGACACAGAGGCATTGACATGAAATGGTAACTATTGATATCATGCTTCTCATTGGGCGCTCAATGAAAGTAGAGCTAAGCTACCAGGTCCCACATGGGGAAATTGAGCCCAGTGGTTGAGTGTAAAACACAAGGCAGTGGCTTGGTGGTAGAAGGTAGAGTGGTATGTAGTGTGTGGTTGCCTGCATGGTGCAGGTCTTGATCAATGCTTGCCTAATTCTTAGGGCTGGTGATTCAACCAGTTGGTGAATACTGGGGATTGGGGTTGATGAAGGGAAGTGGGCACTAGTTTCTCCTGACAGCGTGTTGAAAAAATAAAAGGTAAGATTAAAATACCAGGATGGGTAGGAACTGCTTACTTGGAGATCCTTAGAAGGTGCCATAGATCAAACCAAAGGAAGCATAAAGGGGTCCAGAAGATACCTGTGGACCCTCTTATGTGTTTCTTAAACTCCTCCTCCCAATAACAGTGACTTCACCTCTGCACCCTCATTTTAGGGAGATGAGAGTCCCTGCTTCAGTCCATATCTTTCTTTCTTTTTTATTTAAAGTTTTTATTATGGATTGAGTGAAAGTTTACAGGGCATATCATCAGGTTTACATTCAACAAATCATATACCTTGTTTCATTACAAGATTATCATCCATTCCATGTACCATCAGTTAACAGTATTTCTCTCTATCCATTTTAGCATTTTAAAAAACAAAAAAACAAAAAAACCACTCAGGAATATATAATAATTTACATCTCCAAAGGGCACATTCTGCAAGT